TAAATTACAATCATTCTTTTTTTCACGTATTTTACCATAAAACAAGAGTAGTTAATAAACAAGAAATAGCTTTTTGTTCGTTTGTTCCTGACATTTGTTAAATTTCTTTTTTTTTAAGCTATATACTTACTAATAATTTACATTACTACTAACAACCTGTTTATACTGTGAATAATTTAAAGTTAATGTCATTTAAGAAAGATGACAATCTCAAGCTCTGTTAAAGTTTAATAAGTACATGAATTTTAATAGACTTTTTTGCAATCGGCTTTATGAATTTTAGTATTTTTATCTATGCTCTCTGTATAATATTTTCCTTGGTTTCGACGAAATCAAAGTGGATGTATAAAACAAACACAATGGACATGTGTGCTATTAAAACGTGGCGTGCGGTAACCACCGAGCAAACAAAAGACAATCTCCGGTTGTCGACCGGCAAAAGCCAACTGATTGTTGCCCCATATAGAGCGCCGCAGTTTCGGTTTCCTTCATTTTCAATATTTATTTAAACTTCTGAATGACAAATTGGAAGTTGGAAGAGAATGATTCCAATTTCAATAATAAATACAAGTTTTCATTCAGTACTGAGACTCTGATGTAGTTACAATACTTTCCAAAATAATTAAAATACAGTAGTTTTGATTGCACTTATCCAACATAGAAAGTTAGAGGTTCTTATTCACTAAGAACCTTCCTTGGTATTCAGAGCTGATTCATGTTAGCGATGTGTCGATGGGCTTTTGGACTTCGTTTCTTGTTTTGTGGCGTTTCGGCTACTGGGAAAAATGAAATTTAGTGTTGTAAATTAAGGACGGGTATCTCTGTTCACGAAAAGTTAAATTGACTGAGTTACAAATATATAATATCTAATTTTCTTCTTGATAATCGGAAAAGTTGAAGCTGTAAGGGGCTCAAATAAGGCAGAAAGGGACTTGAGAGATTAAAGCAGGACCAGACTGGTTCAAAATGGATCGCACAACAGTATAATAGTTCTCCCTTCATACTTTTGTAAAAAAAACTTCATAAATTATATTACCGGTGTGAACTTATCGACCAATTTTTAGCGACTAATTTTCCGAAAATTGCCGAAATGTCAATGGCATCGTAATTATTATGGGAGGCATTCAAAAAACTGCATGCATCTACCACTAAGTTTTGCAAATAAAATAATTTAACAATATACCACTTTATTATTTTAAAATACAGGGTGTCCCAATAGTGTGTGGAAGTTCGATATCAAGTGATTTTATAAGTTTACTACTTTGCGAATTAAATGTCATATTACTGTCCATACTAATACCTAAAAACTTAACAGAATCTCTTTGTTCAATATATTCGTTATTATTAAAAATTTTAAAAATAAATATTCTCAATTTTCAATACTTTGATATTATTCCAATTCATATTTTCCGATTAGGTACCTATTTATTTGTAAACCCGGCTTTTTCCATTTTGTCTGCAATTTTCTATGAACTGACCCAACCTCTTAACATCAAAGAATCCATAAAGACTACCGAGATAACGAAGTGGTCAGTCTGGAAAGGAAAATGGACAGACGGCAGGAGGTTGTCAGTTCTAGAATAATCTTTTCAGGGACCGAACACGATCACTGTGCTTTTGATGTTTCAAAACTATATACCTACCCACGTTTGTGTAGTTAATTGTCGTCGTCTTTTATACATTTTATTTTATAGAACATTCAAATATTTAAATTAATTGATAATCATTTTAAACGTTATACAGGGCAATTCATTAAAAGTGGCAACCTGTCGTATTAGAGATTAATTTTTCATTAGCTATTATACACGTGAAAATAAGGCAGAAAGTTACTATTAAACATGTATCCAAAAATGTATTTTGGATTTCTGTTAAAATTGATATAGACCGGGAGATGATGACATATGGAACTTGACGCATGTCTTTAGTATACCTATACAATGGGATATTTTTTAGTTAGTTTTACGCAAAAGATCTTATAGAATCTAATTAAAGAAATACGTATTAATCAAAATAATGAAAAAATTTGTAAATAACCAAACCAAACAAATGTATTTATTACATTACTCAACAGATCCTATTGCAGAGTAAGAAAGATTACAAGAATAGATAATACAATTAAATTAGAAATCTACTAATTGATTGAACAGCAAGCAGGTGAAAAAAAGCTAACATATTTATTTCTAACATATTTCTAACAAAACGAAAATTGTCTTTAATTTGTGTAAATTTCCAAAGAAAAATCAATCTGATGTGTCCAACACATGACTTTCCTATCTAGTTAATATAGGCTTTTTCTGATTATTTTGTACAACCTATTGCAGCACCTCTATAAATGTTTAGAGGATAAACTAAATATATACATTTTCCACATACATATAACTCGAAACATTTTTCTATAGATATTCATTGAAAACGAAAATACTGAAAAATTTAAATTTAGCACTCTTTCATTACGGTCCATTTTAGAAAAATCATGTATAAACAAAAATTATAGAGATCGATATCGCAAACAACTTTTAGTTCAACAATTTTCATAAAAATCAGAATTTTGCACATTTTGTCAAATTTCTCGAATACGGACCATTTCAGGAAATTTTTAACATAAAGCAAAAATTATAGATAATAATATTAGAAGTAACTTTTATTTGAACAATTTTCTTCTCCAAACATAAATAACAGATATATTCCATAAAATATAAAAACGGCCTCCCATAAAGTACCCCCCCCCCCCAGATGTTCCGACTTTGTCCAAAATCTAATCATTTCACGTCAGGCCGAAATAAACCTTAAGTTTAAAATTTAATGTTTTTTTCTTTATCCGTTTTTGAGTTTTCTTCAAAATTCGAAATTTACACATTTTCTCAAATATCTCGAATACGGTCCATTTTAGGGAAATTATGTATAGAATAAAAATTATAGAGAATTACATTACAAACAACTTTTATTTGAACAATTTTTATAAAAAATGATTTTTTTTACATTTTGTCAAATTTCTCGAATACGGACCATTTTAGGAAAATTTTGTATAGAACAAAAATTATAGATAATTATATTAGAAGTAACTTTTATTTGAAGAATTTTCTTCTCCAAACATAAATAACAGATATATTCCATAAAATATAAAAATGACCATCTATAAAGTACCCCCCCAGATGTTCCGACTCTGCTTAAAAAAAGTTGAAAATAATATCACAAAGATTTTAAGTGCCATATAATTTCTAAGCTAATGTGAATTATAATAAGATTCCGCGTTTATAAAAGGTAAAAAAATGCACGTAATAAAATTATCTAATATGTATAAATTTGGTACTCTCCGTATAATTCACCCCTTTCTCCAAAAAAAATTAAATCACTATTCATTGTTATGGCAACTTTGCTGAAAGTAAATTACACATCTGATTCTACCCTAATTCTATTGAAATGAACGTTGATCCATTCGATATAGAGCAGAGAGAAATTTTGCGATTTTCTTTTCAGAAAATTTGCTTCATGTACCTTCGTCCGACGAGCTTTTATATGCGCTGATCCAAAATAATCTAAAACTTTCTATAACGTAGAAGGTACAAAAGGGATTTTCGGTATTTCTTTGGTGGCTTTGTTGAGAGATCAGAGCCTTATCGGATTATTTCTTTTACTGTCGTCTCCGATGGGAATTTTAGTTTTCCTAGAGTTCATTAAATCCACGAAAAGTGTTACTGGAGGAAAAGCGTTGAGATGTCGCAGACAGTGCAATATCGCGTTTATATGCTTTTTTCTTTAAAAGAAAAAATGTTTAATCACAAAACTAAACACAAATCACATTTTTTTGAAAACAATCTGTAGACATATCTTAAGAATTTAAAATTAGATGATAACATGACGTTTTTTCAGCTTTACTAAAAAAAAGTTGAGATTGAAACTCATATATTTGATTTAGTTAAAAAAAAATCGTCACCACATAGCTACTTTTTGAAAAAAATGTCTGACACTGTTTACAGTTATTTAGCTCAGCTTTATTATAATTTTTTGTCTTTATAATGGGTGCCGGTAAAAACAGGCATACGAATTTCGCAGAAAAAAATTAAACTAGAAAATAGTAGGTATTAAGTGTACGGGTTACGCAAAAATAACAGAGAAATATGAGTTAATGACTCTGTAGATGTTTGTGTTTCTAACCTCAAATTTGTAGATTTTCATGTCAGACATGTGCACGTTTGCCAAGCGTTCCATCTGGTTTATACAACTGGATCACTTTAAAACCAGTCAATATCGTTCGATAACGGTGGAAAAGGGTTTTCTAGATTTTCGGCTTGATTCGACCCGAACTCTCACTTCACGTCCGCTCGGTGTTCTTCGTCACGCTCGTAAAATGTATGTGCTTAGTAGTTCCCTGTTTTTACAATTTCTATATCGAGGGAAGTTCTGGGTAAAATACTTTACCGATTTTTTTACAATATAAACATCGAATTGAAGTGAAATTGGAGGAAGTTTATAGTGCCTGCATATAAAATAAACATTTTAATAAAATAAAGAGTTTATTTCATATACAGGATGTTAAGTTGATATAATGTATACAAGGAAAAATGTTCAAATACGAATTTTTGTTGCAAATGAGATTTTTTATAGATTTGACGCTCGATTACCGTACGTTAACATCGATAGTAATATACCGATTGTTCGATATTTGATCAATTACTGGCATTTAAAAAATTGGCCGAATAACTATAGAAAATAATAGAAATGGTTTTAAGAAAATTGAAATTACATAAAAAAATTGATTTTTTTTTTATTTTAACTATGGATTTTTTGTTTTTCCGCAGTTAAATTGATCATTTGCAATAAAAAATTATGCAAAAATAGCGAAAAGGTTTTTGTCCGCATTGTTTACAGGCATCTTATTCACGAAAATTCCCTCCACTTGCAAGAATCTTAATAAAGGGTCTTTACACCAAAATTCCTTTATGTTGGCGGCGTATCGTGGTCACCAATTTGTAACAAATATAAAAAGATATTAAGATTCAGCAGTATTAAATATATTTATCAAATATGACAATTCTATAAAAATCCCTAATCACAATTTCAATTATTAAAATTAAATATCCTGAACAGGTTACTTGCTATGTAGACTACAACTTTTTCAAAATTAAAGATAATTAAAACAAGATTGAGATCCGCCCTTCAACAAAATTTATTAGAATCACTTATGCTCCTTAACACAGAGGAAATTAATTACGATAAAATGCAACATTTAATTTAATAATACATAAATTTTATACCTACATACTTTAGCCTAAAAAATTAATATACAAACATCCATAAAAATAGTCTAAGACGTACCAAATAGCTTTGTTTTGATTTGTTTGTTCGTTGTTTTCTTCCTATCCAAAGCTGGACTCAAATTATCAGTCAAACGTAGTTTTTTTATAACTTTCGGTGTACCATCGTCTGCTTTGCGTTTAAGATTCTGAAAAAAAAAAAAAGATATCTGTCAAACATTTCATCCAAAATCCATTTTTAAAATGAAAACTTCTTTTGGCGGGCCTTCTCAAGATCTATCAAAATTTTAATGAACTGTTGCAACCGTCTATAAAACTTTAAATACTTACTAAAAATGAAGTAGTTGTTGTTGTTGTTACAGTCTCCTGACCAACTCTTTGAAATAAGAAATTTTTGGAATTTTTAACAGCCTTTCCTGTAGCCATTGTGACAAGAGTAGCCGTTTTATTAAACTCAGCTAACCTTTCCAAAACTTGGTCTCCCCTCGTTAAAAATGAACCTCTTTTATGCTACAACAAAAAATAAGACTGGTTTTCATATAGTCAGATGCAGTGTAAATCACACAAGACATAGATAAATAATAATAGTACTATCTTTTATCTCTTTATTAAAACATTGTATCTCACTCGGGCGTTGCAACTAAATAATTTATACAATTAAAAGATCTAGCCAATCAGATTTGAAATGCATTTGTTGGTATAGCGCAAACAAATCGCAAATGAATTATTCCTATTCCAGTTTAGGAACAATCAATAACTTAAAAATTAAATAAAAAAAAAAACTCACCAATAAGCTAAAGCTTTTTTTTATAGCAGGACTACAACCCAAGTCAGGATTCTCCAACGATATTTTTACTTCTTGCGAATTACTCATACTTTTTCGTATAACTTTATGTCCCAATTTCAATATCTCGCTTCCGCTTAGAAGATCATCGTCTTTCGTCTCCTGCGAATTTTTTTCCTTCAAAAACATTTCTCTCTCGTGTCGTTTTTTACGCCACTGTTCTTCGTTTTCATCTTCAACGCAATTTTCATCGTCGCTACCTTTCTTTTCTGCGTCGTCGTCTTCTGGGAAATTGGAATCGATGGTTTTCCATTTAAATTGTCGTTCACGACCTGTTCCATGCAATTCCCCGTCGTCCAAAAGCATTTCTTGCAGAAGTTTTACCTTTACAAAAAATTAAGATGCTAAACAATAAAATTTTAGGATTACTACTCAACTGATCAATTATTTGGCTCATCCTTAGTCACAACCAGAGCTGGACGACTATCAAAATAAATAATGGATTATCGATAATTCGAAATAATCGATTATTTACGTAAGGATAATTTCCTGACGTAGCATATAATTTTATTTTCTATCGTTACATATGTTTCGGAAAACTTTGTTACCATCTTCAGGTGCAGTCAAAATTTAAAAAAAAAAAGATAGGGTTTGTTATTTTAAAAAATTTTAAACTGTAATCGTCCCCATGTGTTTTTTACATTTTTTTCGATTAACTTCGATTAATATCGATTATTTTCAATTATTTTCAATTATTTTCTATTATTTTCTATTATTTTCTATTATTTTCTATTATTTTCTATTATTTTCTATTATTTTCTATTATTTTCTATTATTTTCTATTATTTTCTATTATTTTCTATTATTTTCTATTATTTTCTATTATTTTCTATTATTTTCTATTATTTTCTATTATTTTCTATTATTTTCTATTATTTTCTATTATTTTCTATTATTTTCTATTATTTTCTATTATTTTCTATTATTTTCTATTATTTTCTATTATTTTCTATTATTTTCGATTAACAGATCATTTTGGATTATTTTTGATTATTTTCAATAATTTTTAATTTTAATAGATTATTTTCAATTAGGTGTTTTCGAGTAATCGATTATTTTCAATTAATCGATTCGAAAATAATTCATTAATTGAATGGAATTAGTTTGGCGAACGTAGAATTAGAAAATGCGCATGCGAGAAGTTAATTCTGAAGCAGTTCAGGATTGTTACCGCGAACAACGCTATTATTATCTAGGGGCAAGGATTAATCGATTAATAGTTTTTATTATTCTAAAATAATAGATTTTATATTATTTTCGATTAATTGATTATATTCGATTATATTCGATCTAAAATAATCGAAAATTAGTGATTATTTTCAATAATAAAAAAGATTAATCGAATATCGATTATTGTGCCCACCCCTAGTAATAACTGGTTCAGAAACATTTATTGTTTATTCTTATCAATAATTATCGTACCTCTCTTGTATCGTCATCCAACAACCTCCTCATGTGTATCCTTTCTAGATCCGTTCTCAATTGTTTTTCGTCAAATTTTTCCGTGTCGCCTTGTTCGAATTCGAGAGTATCTAAATCTTTTTCGTCTTCGTCCGCGCTGCCCCATTCAGATTCCGATAATTCGGCTTCGGCTTCAAAGAAATCTGCCATTTTGAGATTCTCCTTAACTACAATAAAAAAATAATATTAGAAACGCAGAAGTGGAAAAAATTAATTTAAGCAACATTCTAAAAGTTTTTTCTTTATTATGTTGTGGTTGGCCTTATAGCATTTCTCTTTATCTCTACCATTATCTCTTTCTCTATCTATCTTACCCTTTCTCTCTTTGACTTTGAACAATCTTATGAGCTAAGCGAATTTAATTCAACCTCTGGTACACTCAGCTATCATTATTTTAAAATAAAATAAGAGTTTAGATTTTTATGGTTCAATCCATACCTTTTTCTTCTGAATAATCAACTTCATTTTCTTCAGAATCATAATTTATTTCACATTCTTCTCCTTCAATATTATCATGGAGATCGATTTCTTCTTCCTTTTCCTCATCTTCATTTGAACTTTCATCATCTAAATAAAAAATAAATAATTGAAAATTTTTATTATTTTTCTACATACTTTTTTTATTTTGATAAAAAAATATATTTTATTACTAGGTGAAGTTCTAAACCTGAGAAAGTAAGTTTCTTTTGATTCCTCTTTTTCTTCTTCACCTCCAGTACTTCTTCATCCGAATCTATAATTCCTCCTACTCTTTCCACTTCCTCGACTTCTTCAACAACTTTTTGATTGTGTATTAAAACTGGTGAATCGAATTTCTTCTTAAATGCCGCCATTTCTTCCTCATTTATTAACTGTGAAATTACCATATCTTGATCCTCACTCAAATACTTCACTTCTTCTACCCGATTTACTTTATGAGTGACTGGAATGTTTGGAATACTCTCGGATACCTGAAAGTTAAACGTTTTTAAATAATTCAGGGCTCAAATGAAAATGTTACTCGTTTACCTGCGAAATCCCAGTAAACTTTCCAGAACATATATTTAAAATATCTTGAGTAGATGGCGGCATCGACGAAGTTGGTTCATCAAATCGCCCAGAACAAATGTTTAAAATATCTTGTGTATTAGGAGGTACAGTGGGAGGAATATCTAAAGTTATACAGCTTGATTTTACATTTTCAGAATGACTATCTGAAACATCCTGGGATTCCGAAAATGTTTCAGTAAATAATTCTCTCATTGCTACAGCCTAAAATAATAAATTCAGTAAGTAAAAATCAAGTACAATCGTGTGTAAAATATTGTTTATTCAAATTACGTGGAGTGCTTTCAAGTAAAAGTAGAAGGTGGAACTTTTAAGTGGCCCACCGTTTAATGTGCTTATTTCAATTACACCCTTTTTACCTGCGAGTTTGTGATGATCGAATCAGCATGTAGCTTCCTTTCAAGTTCAGCATGCCAATCTGTTTCTTTTAATGGCGAAGGTACATTAACCTAAAAATAAATTTTATTAGAAAGAAACCGGTTAAATTATAATTCCCAACAAACCTTGGTAACAGAATTTGTTAAATTTTGGAGTCCGGTAATGTATGAAACGGGAGTTAAAAATTTTAAAGCATTATTTGAACTTTCTGAAATCGATTTAATTGGTGTTTTATTAGTAAGATTTTGCAACTGATAAGGGCGAATATAATCTTCTTCTGAAAAAATACAAATTACATAAGATACGAAATTGTATAAGGTGTGGAGCCCTGACATAAATTTGGGTACATTAATTAAAAAAATCTGTTAATTTGCCCCCAAGTCACTGAGTTTATAACTATTCTACATGGAAACACCTAATATTTAATTAAAACACGATTAAAACTTCCTAAGGCTCGCCTTGGCAAGAAAAAATATGAGAAGTGAATTGATAAAAACGACATATTTCGATCTCCCCGACAGCCTCGTATAAATAAAAATAAACGAAAATGAACAAAAATGAACGAAAATTAAGGAAAATGGACGAAAATAACTCGATTCGTATAGCATCTACGGGAATAAAAAAGTACCAATCGATTTGTTTTTTAAAAAGCTTTCATGTTTTATGATTTTTTTGAAAACGTATGGTTTAGGAATTATTAGTGAAAAATCACTGTCAAACATGCATTTTTTTAAATGAAAAATCAACATTTTCAATTGCGAATATACTCGAAAAATATTTATCTAAAATATTTCATAGAACATTTGTCAAGTAAAACTTCTTAGGGCTCGCTCTGGCATGAAAATAAACGAAAATAAAAAATAAATAAATTAAATAAAAATAAATTAATAAATTAAATAAAAATAAATTTATGTACGCAGTTTTTATTTGTCTAAGAAGTTTCACTTTCTATAACATACTTTTTTTCTTCGAATATTTCAATCTATAAGTATCTAGTTCTTTTTGTTTATTAATTTTCACCCCAAAAAAGGGGTGGCATCCGCCTCTTTGTTAAAAGCGCACATCGACTCTATATAACCATTCTTTACTGTCTTAAATTTCACATTAATCCGAAAAAATTCAGAGCAAAAAACTTTCAAACACTAAAAACAACAGACTATACTTGTTATAAATATGGGATTTTATTACAAAATTGGAAAAACACGAATTTGATATAAATATATATTATATACTTACGGGTGTTATTGGTATCTTCATTACTTCTGTTTAATTTTTCAGCAATTTTCTTAATAGTTTCTCCAGGTATACGAAAGTCTTCATCTTCATCAGAATCTTCTGAAAAGCATTGTATTATCCTCCTCAAAGGTTTTGAAGATGATGACGTCTCATTAACATTGTTTTCGTGATCATCTGCAGCTTTGTTTTCTTCATCATCAACATCATCACTATCATCATTATCATCATTGCCAACATTATCATTTTCTTCATCACTTTTTAAATGTTCTTGATATTCTTCAATTTCATCATCTATATCTGCTTCATCATCTGCATCTACTTCGTCATCTACATCTGCTTCATCATGAACAAAAATAGACTTCTCCTTTGATCTTTTTTCTTTTGTATCTTCTTCAATTTCTTCTTCTTCGTCTTCTTCACTGGATTCAGACATTTCTTCTTCTTCATCATCATCAAGAATAGCATCGTCAGCACCACATTCCGACTTTTCATCATCATATGGGTCTTTAACAATTTGATTATTTTCTTTTACAATGGCTTTTTGTTGCCATATCTCAGATTTTCGTTGAGCTATTTGATTTTGCAATTCGTTCCTTAATTTTTGTAATCTTGCTCCAGGTTTTTCTTCGATTGAAAGGTCTTCCTCGTCGTCTACTCTAACAGCTAGAGTTTCTTTATGAATTTCACCGCCGTGTTCAACACTGACTATATTTAATTGTACTCTGTCTTTGTGGTGTATTATCTTAGCTGTATGTTGAGCAAACCGTTCCATAAGTTTAGTAACTTCATTAGGTTTGACGACATCGTCCAAGTCTATAAGGTGATTTAGATCGCCGCTTAATCTCGGTGTAATATTAGATAGTCTTGATTTGAATCTATCTAGTTTAAATTTTTGATTTTCAATTATAGTCAGTTCTTCGTTATTTCCAAAATTTTCTATTTCTTTATCTATTTCACCAAATACAAACTGGTTTGAATGTTTTTTAGGTAACTCTTCATCTACTTGTGGTAAGTTTTCGGACGTATCTACTTTTCTTTGGGTTTCTTTATCATTGTTTAAAATATTTTCAGAATTTTCTTCAATATCGTCTAAATTAAATTCATAATTTATTGAACTTGGTTCAACTACCAAATTTGTTTCATGAACATTTTTGTCATTAGATAGTTTGTCACCAACTACATGCTCCTTGTCTGAGTTTATTGATAAAGAATCAGAATTTGATGGCATATTTATCTTAAGGCCCGTATCTATTTCTTCAGTTAATATATTTTCAATTGAAGAATTATTCTCAATGCCATCCTTAATAACGAATTCAGATATTATTTTAATTTTCTTCCCTTCATTGTTTTCTATTGTTTTATTTATATTTTCATTTTCTTCAGTTAATGTATCATAATCTATAATACTCTTTTTCCCTTCAGAATATTCGTTGTCTTCTATTATTTTGTTTATATTTTCATTTTCTTCTATTAATCTATCATAATCGGTTGAATTATTTGCTGCTATATCTATTTTACATGAATTAATCTTGTCTGAATCAATTTCAATGTTTTTTTCCTCTATATTTTCTAAATTTTTATTAACATCAAAATTATCTCCATTTCTTAGTGCTTCATTAATATTTTCTATATCATCGATATTTTTTTCAATATAATTTGTTTCAATTCTATCATCTTCTAAAGATTTAGTCAAATTTGTTTCTTCAACTTTTTCAGAATCTGGTAAAACTTCATTATTTTCAGGATCTTCATCGTCTTCTTCTTCATTATCAGACTTATAAAATTCTCTTACTTCTTTATGCCTTTCTTCTAGATTTTTACTAAATAAAATTAAATAAAATAAAAATTAAATTTTTTTTTATTATAAATATTGTCCCAATTACATTGGAATTTAGAAAACAGAGGTATCTAGTGAGTAAAATGCAACAATTTATAGAACAGTTCATAGTCATTTTCAGACACATTTCACTTGTTTTTTCTCGATTTTCCATATTTTTGCTTTTTTGTTTTACCTATTTGTTTTTTACTTAGGTTTTTCGGCTATTTTATAATGAATTTCTATTATTTTATACCCATTTAGGTTTTAATACTTGAAACGACTAATTTAAAAGGTTTTCTTTTGATTTCTGTTTGTAAGAAACCAATCCTAAAAACATGGGAAGAAGCAACACTCGCTGTTGTAGAGCTCTTCAAGCTCACTAAAGCTCCTTTTGAATGCCAGGGGAAGTACATGCTGATCTTATCCAGAAGGAGGTTGTGCTGAGACGATTTGAGGGGCAAAACTCCAATTTATTTTTAAGATTAAATCAGGAATCTTCCCAGTATATTTACAAAATATTTTAAGTTACAATCAGGATGTTCATGAACACAATACACGAAATAAGAAAAAAAATTTAAATTTATAAGACCATGAAAAAATGTACACAAAATTCAGTGGTTTTTAAAGGTGTACAAGCTTTTAATAATTTGCTCTTCAAACGCAGCAATATGTGAAAGAAAATTGTATGAGTACTTATTAACCATTTAATGTTTTTTTTTTCTTGTTCTTTTATTATATTTTGTATATTTGACATGTTGCACATGCACTGTATACTTATGTATTTTTATTGTATTTTAAATGTATGTTGATTCTATACTTATGTATTTTAAATGTGAAGATATACTGACATGTAAAAAATAGTTTTTTTGCCTAAATAAACAATTTATATACAACATACAATAAAAAAATCACCCTCTATAAAAACAAATTATTGTATCCCATTTTTTCAGTGCAAATTCCATATCCTCTATATTATATAACTAATATCATATAAAAACTTACGTAATAACTTCTAGCTGTTGAACAGACATTTTTATAGCCATAGAGGTAGGCATTTTTGATCCTAAAGGAACAGCAGAGGCAAATTTCGGTCTTTTGGCTAAAAAATCTTTCAATGTAAAAGATTTGGGCCTATGATAAGGCAATGAAATGTTAGATTCTCTGAGCATTCTCTGAGATTCTGAGCGAATTTCATCTCTCTGTTTGGACGCCTCTTTAAAAGACATCTAAAAAAAATTTTAAAAATTTATTTTCGTAACATCAAAATACTAAAAGAATTTTTTTTATCTGTGATTATAATACAAGACTATACTTACTTTCTCAAGTATTGTTAAGAAATACTAATAACATTTCAATAATTAATTATAAGGATTTTTTGTTCAAAGTTAAATATATTCCTAGGAAAATAAAAAATTACCTCTTGTGATTCATCCTTTCGTATATTCCTTTTTTTATACTTGATAGGTTTGATTATTTCATTGGAAGTGCAGCTTTTTTCGTTATCACTATTGTATGCTTGCTCTTTATCACTATTTTCAGGTCCAGAACTTTCTGAGTCACAAAGGGCTGCCCAAGTAGAATTCTAAAATAAAAAGCTATTTAAAAAAAATGCATGCCGTCTTTTTTGTATTTAATATTGCTTGCGAGTCACTTTTTATTACTTGGAATCAAAATTACTAGAAACAGGAAAACATTCTTTTGGCAAGAAAGTGAGAATTGGCTGAATGGATGGCCGTATTAAAATTGTATACCTGAAAAAATACACTTATTTACAATAGATTTTTGCTTGAATCAATAGCCTGAAAATTAAGGGAATGTCAAAATCAGCTGATGTGTATAAATTTCATCAAAGTTACACCTATATTGGGCATTCCAACGACCTGTCAAACAATAGGTGCCAGTGGGAAATTCTTGTATATTTAAGGGGGTAGCGACATAGTCTTGCAACTTGGACGCTATTTTTATTCGAAGTAGTACTCGCCAAGCCTGCCAATTTATGAAGAAATGTATAGGTGGGTTTTTTAAATATTATTTTTATTGTGTTTGACATAAAATATTTAAATGTAATCCATTATTCATGATTTTACGTAAAGTAGATAGAATACACCATATGTCGCCACCCTTAGATATACCAAACCTGCCCACTGGTAATTCATTTGTTTGGAATGCCTAATTGATACACTTATAATTTGACTTGAAAACCAATTAGATAAGAGTGCAATGAATTTTTCTGGGACTTATGCAAAAAGGCTTCTGTATTTTTTATATTGTATTTTTTTTTTTTTATTTACTTTCTTTGACTTGCTATAAACATTGTAATTCAAATGGAAGATAGTCAAATATACCTTGACTGTTGAACTTTCAGCAACAAGTTTTCCATCAGAATTAATTGCATATATTGCATCCTGTTCAACAGGTTTCTCATCTTTATCATCAGTCTCTAAATCACTTTCATCAAAATTAATTTTGTTCCTACTTATATTTCTATTCTTAGTTGTATTTGTTCCACAATCTTCGTTGGTAACTGTAAAATTGTCTATTTCATTTTCAGAATCACTTTCAAACATTGTAAGTTTTCTAGATTTCCTATGACTAAGTTCTTTTTCAGTTTCATTAGAACCAATCGAGTCTCTGATAGTTATATCTGAAAAAAATATAAATATATAATTTGTAAGCGATAATTACTATACCTATACCTTCACTTTCATTGAAATTTTCGATGTTCATATCATCCTCAGAGTCACTATCAATTACTGTAATCCGTTTTCTACTTTTATGTTTCTTTTTATTAGATCCAATGGATTTTAATTCATTTTCATTATTATGATCTTGTAAAAAAGTTGTATTTTCATGTTTATTCTTTAATTCATTTTCAGTTTGTCCATTAACGTTATCATATTCTGAAAAAATGGGACTGCTTTCTTTTTCCTTCATGATGTGGCTTTCTAACAAGTTTTCTTTATCGTTAGTTTCATTTTCATTATTCTCACTTTCACGTCTTTGTGTATAATCTAACGCCATAATTTAATATTAAAATATTTATAAATAAATTCCACAACTTATATTAAAACATGACTAAAACCGAATAACTCTTTATTTATTTATCTAAACATCTAACCTCTAAAGAAACTCATACAAAATATTTCCCGCCGTTCCGAATACGAAATTGAACCAATGATATGATAAATCCATGTAGATTGATCAGACGATGAAAAGATTACTAAAGTAGGTTTTTCTTTTTTTTTAATAAAATATATGCAGTTGTGTGTATTCGGTTGTAAACAAATCCTTTGCATAACCATTATTGTTTAAAAAATAAATAAATTCCAATAATCAAATGTGACCAATTGGGCATTCCAAACTGAATGCCTACCAGTGGGCTTTGACGGGTTATGATATTGCAAAATTATGGCAACTTTTGCTGCGTTTGAGAATCCACATCGGATGCATCTGAGATGTAAAAAATCTTTGATCACGTGATGCAGTATACGTAAATGTAATGGGACAGATGTGTCCGATGTGGATAAAAAAACGCTCGAGATGTAAAAAATGCATCCGATGTGGATTCTCAAACGCAGCACTTGTAGACCTGGTGATTTGACAAGGTCAATGAAATAGATAGACATAGATTGATTATCCATATTTTTCAAAATAAACATAAGCGTATGCCTTGAAGTAAAAATGTAAGCAATTATTTTTTTTAAATATCTAAAGGCTAAAAATTGGTTTTCAAACACATTTTTGCTAAACCGATTCAAATTAATAAATATTTGCCAGGCAATATGGCCGCTCGTAAACGACCAGCTTTGAGCAATCTATATAACTATATATGTATCATTGACCTTGTTAATGACAACATGACAACAGGGTTGCCATATCTAAACTGTCATTACCCACTGGTAGCCATTTGGACAGGTCGTTGGAATGCCTAATTTAAAAATTAGGCATTCCAACGACCTGTCAAAATGTTGCCCGTGGGATGATATGGCAACCCTGTGGGCCTTTGACATGATCAATGATATGTAAGTATAATAGATTGCTCAAAACCGGCCAGTTTACGAGTGACATATGGCCTCGCAAGTGCTCATTATTAGCAAAAATGTGTTTTATAAAGGATTTTATTTGTTGCACCAGGTGTGTTTTACACAAATCGCATTTGATTTGGTGAGTGTAGCTTCAAATATTTATTAGCGTTCGGATTAGGTAAAGGCTGGGAACCGGACAGGATCGGAGTTTTTAGGGATCGGAGTTTTTAGGGGGTACATTGTTAATGTAAAAATGTCATTTTAAACTCCGTTTAACACAACGGTGAAATCGGTCCTAAAAGGGTCGTCTGGAGTTAGAGTTAAAAGGTGAATGGAACTTGTTCTGTCCGAACTTACTTTTGAGTAGGTCTTTTCCTTTGCATCGAAAGTGTAGCACTGAGCTACGTCACTTCTGAAAATATCGTTCCATCCATACAATTTGTATATATGGAACGATATTTTCAGAATTGGTGTAGCCCAGTGCTACACTTTCGATGCAAAGGAAAAGACCTATTATGAAACTGACAAGGGGGGTAGCCATGTGTGAGTTGAGGTAATTTTAAGGTGAAGGGGGGAGAAAAAATCCTTTATATCTCACAAGGTGAGATATAAAGGACTTTTTCTCCCCCCTTCACCTTAAAAATATTATGAGACTATTTTTACTAATAGCAAAATAAATAAAGGAAGGCCAAAATTAAATGAGAGGGAATATTTTTATATCTTCCCGTCCATTTCCCCGCACAAGCTCAGCTTTTGGGGTTAAAATTCACTCGTAAGGGGGTGAATTAGAGAGAGTATTATTATTATTATTATTTCCTTTTATACTTGTATCATATCAATAAAAAATCTGTTTTATTTTGCTCGTAAAACTATATTTAGGTATGTCAAAAAAATTAGCCACAAAATTGATCATTTAACAACCCTTTTCGGATTTGGTCATACCTAATTAAAATTAAATAATTTATCAATTAAAACATGCAAAACTTATTTAGAAATAAATACAACTGTATTTTCTGTGCTTTAATTAAGTTTATTTTTATTATTTTCTCAAAATTATGTAAAATTTTCATAAGAAGTCATGTATTTTTAACATAACTTGCAACACCAGTGCCCCTGTGGTTAATTGTAAAAGCTCAATTAGCCATCTTTTTTTGCGATCGTATTTCGGGAATGTCGTTTCGCCTCCTTTTTATTCTTCATACATAAAATTCACTCGTAAGGGGGTGAATTAGGGAGAGTATTATTATTATTATTATACCCACGGGCAACCATTTTGTTTGGAATGCCTAATTTACATATATAATCCTATAATATATCATTGGTATATTGAACAAACGTCAACAAAAAGTTGACAGTTGATTGTTGATGTTTTTTGTTTGTCTTTTTTGTGGTATTGTTTTTTTCTGCAGATGAGATATCAGATGATTTCCTTTTCTTGTAGAAGACTTAATACTTAAAAATGAATAAGGCACCATCGGCTAAACAAATTAAAATATTACAAAATATTAAATTTAGACCGTTGCAAGATGATAGTAATAATGTTCGAAAAAAACAAAGGATTACTTCAAGTATGATAATACTTGGAGAAGAACCAGTATTTTCAGATTCTGACGAGGAAAGAGAGTTTAATGAAACAATTTTTGGCCCAATCCAACCAGTTGCAACCATACCAGTTAAAGATAAATATCATGATGCAGAAGTTCAGTGTGACTTACTAACACCTGAAAAAACACTGTATGGATTAATCAACCAATGTACTAAGTTAAATGCAGGTACGCTGTGCATACATTTCCATTTTGAAAGTCCTGAGATTCTTCATTCCGTTCTGAAAACCCTAAGATTCTCTATAAACTTTAGGAGACAATATTTGCATTAGTATTAGTAGGCATAAGACATCCGTTTTTGGTTATTGTACTATATATAAGCAGAAATCGAGGGAGAAATGTATGCAGCAACAATAATAATAATAATTTTTATTTATAAAACAAGTCTGGCATACATGTATTTCATTAACATCTTTTGTCTTTTTATAACCTAGTTATCTTATAAGGTAAACTTGCATTGAGTTCTTTAATTTTATTTAAGAAGGGCAATAATTCTTTGATTCAAATTACGTGACACTATGACTAAATCCAAGTTTAATGTGTTGTCAATGACTTTTTTATCACAAAAAGTACAGCTCTGAATGATAATATTTTCAGAAATCATTTTTATAAATGGGTTTAGAGTACTGTAAAGAATGGAGAAGTCTGTTTATTTTACTTTTAATGCATAATATTTAACAAATATTTAAGTTATGGATTTTCCACCATTTTTTATAGTATTTAAAAGCTAAAACGCAAAATACACTCTTTTAATTATTTCAGAAAACATGTGTTAAAGATTTAAAAATGTTCTGAGGTTGGGTTATTTTGCAACTGTGCTAATTCGAGACATACATTTTATTAAACTCATCTGAGTAGGTATTTGTTGACATTAAGAGATAGAAATTTAAAGTGACGTCTTGTATCACTTCGAATGAAAAATAGTTTTCTAAACTAAGACCTAAGAAAAAAAATGAGTTGGTCTTAAGTACATTTTTTTCATTTCAGATGATGCCGGAGATTTTAAAGGCATTATTAAAGCTTGCGAAAAATTTATTGCAAGACGTTCGTTCAATATACATGATCCAGATGCGTTAAGTGACATTAGTTATGTCTCTAAAAATGATGCAAGTAGCTCCTCACCTTTAAAGTTTGTATATTAGCAGGTTTTTAAGAAAATATGTTTTATAACATTACCAAATTAATTCTTAATAGTTATTTGTGCATTTAAAGTTTACAGTTGAAGTGTAACTCTCAGAGCATAACACCTGGAAACTGTAACTCTATCTTATTCCAGACAATATTTTTCTGTCCAATGATATGTAAATATTCAACATATTATGTAGGTAACTTCAAATGTTGACATTTTTTTGAATCTAAATCAGTACAAATTTTTAATTTTAAGAAATATTTGGCACTTAAATTGTTGGCTTAACTTTGATGAAATGTATTTTAGCAAAAAGAAAAATGAGAATGAAATAGCCAATTCAAATAATACATTGAAAGGAGGTCTGGTCAGCAATAATGAAAGTAGAAGAAAATCAAACAGAAGAAAAGGAGCTAATAGAAGTGTTAGATTAGGAAATATAAAATTTTGAAATAATTGTAATGAATCTAACAAATAACTAATATTTTATTATATACAGTGTCGAAAAACTTTAATTTGCATTATTCTTGATAAAAGGTTCTTCATCACTTGGAAATCCATAATGCAATAATAAAGCATAAAATTTGTAAAACTATAAAATTTTCAATACACACTTTTGGCATTGATTAAACAACATAAAAAATCATTTAAAAATTAATGCATTGATTTAAAATTAAGCATATTTTTTTATTTTTAATTCCTATCAACATTTTAATTAATATTTTGTTCTATATTTAAATTTAAAAAGTATTTTACTCTTCATTATAAACCATTTTAATTTTCCCTATATACCACTTATTTTTTTACAAAATGTAATGCTTAATTATGAATTCCTAAGTCATAACACAACTTTTTATCAAGAATAATTTTTTTATGAAAAACTTTCCCATTTGTATAAAACATTTCACCGCTATGTCTATATTTCTTGCTGTGAAATTTTAATTTCCTCTTAATACCCTTCATGACTTAAAAATTAGTTTTCTTTAGACTTATCCAAATGTGTTTCTCAAAATCTAATGTTAGAAATACGATTTTGTAAAAAGAGCAACATTTAACAAAATTAATTGAAAAAAAATATGCAAAAAAAATCCACTGAAATAGTTTAAACAATTCGCATCCAAAGTCTAGTCGAAAATCATTGATGATCTATTGTTAACTGTACATTTTGCTTAACCCATTTGATAAGAAAGTATAAAAATGTTTAACAAAAAACACCATTTTGTTTTTTAGTTATCAGAAGTAACAAAAAACTGTTGGATATCGTAATAATAAAATAGCGGATAATGCAGTAACCAAGCAACTACCTATTAATTAATATTTAAGTTTGTAATTATTGTTATTTAAATTAAAAGTTTTGTTTGCATATAATCTATGTATTATTGTTTAATACCCTTCTGATAGTAGTGATCTTTCTAGATGTCTACTAATTTAAAAAAAAAAATATTAAGGAATACCTATGTTGAAAAAATATAAATGGGTAACATTTTTAAAGATTGAGAAAGTTATCTCTAAATAGTATAAAACAAAGTCTTGTCTGCTATCAATTTATAAATATTTAATATTGAACAAATTGCGGAATTTTGTGCAATAGAATTTTCATAAAAAAAATTATATTGATTAACTAAAAGCTTGCTGGCAGATAATAAATTTTGAGCATAACAAATTTAAAAGAAGTTATCCAGTTTCCTTACTAACTCCTATTTTACATATAATATTACATCGTTACCGGCAGTTTTTTTAATACTGATCTACTACATTTTAGAAATTTTCCAGTACCTTGTAGTTCTTTTTTCCTACCTCCAGTAAGTGAAGAATAAATTTTAAACTTTTAATAACCTACAAATTCAATCTTTGCTTGTCACTTTATTTTAAAATACAAATAATTATTTTTGCACTGTATATACCGCACTTTTGTTATTAAGTTTTATTTACTGGACCATGAAGAAAATATTTATACAGGGATTTCATTTCAAAACTAGCCACCCAAAATAACTTTTAAAATATCTTTAAAACAAAAAAACACGTTAATTTATATTTACGGGGGGACACATTTTACAAGTATCTGTAACCGTGCAGTTACATCCCCTAAGCGGTGATGAATATCACTTCTAAAATTTTAAATAGAAAAGGGTATCATGTGATAGCTCTTCTTAAAGGTCTCTTTTTTTCCAATCTTTTGACACATTATTTTTTTAAATCGGATTAATTTTTCACCAAGTTATAACCTAGAAACCGGAAAAAATTAAAAATATTGAATTTAAATGCACGAGTATAAATACCGAGATAAACAAGTTAGCAAAAAGCCTTAAATGTTTTTTGCGTAAGATATTTTTGACCGTAAATTAAAACAATGTATTATTAGTAGATTATTGGTTTCGTTGTGTACTTACTGACAATTTAATTTTGACAATGGTTTATTCTTTACAAGAAAGAATTGAAATAATCTTTATTTATGGTGAAGAACAACGCTGTGCACGCAGAACTGCTCGTGTTTTTAATCAGAGACATCCCGATAAAAATGTTGGGCATCAGTATGTGTTGGATTTAGTTCATAAATTTCAAGAAACTGGAAGTGTGTGCAATAAAACTGTAAAGAATCGTAGAGTTTTAACTGAAGCTGCACAAGTTGAGATTTTAGGTCATTTTGCCATGGAACCTCAAACATCAATACCAAAAGTCTCCAGATTAACAAATATTTCCGTCGGCTGTGCATAAAACGTGCTAATTCTTTCCTTACAAAATACAGCTTTTCCAACAGCTTGCTGAGGATGATTATGACAGAAGATTAGAATTTTGCGAATTAATGACTCAAAGGGCAAATGAAGACCATAATTTTATTAAAAATATTTGTTTTACTGACGAGGCAGGTTTCTTTTTAAATGGATTTGTCAATAAACATAATTATAGGTACTGGGACAATACAAATCCACATGTTTTTCGGGAAGAGCACAGCCAATATCCTCAGAAAATCAACGTATGGGCCGGAATTCTTGGTAATAAAATTATTGGTCCTACTTTCATGGAGGAAAATTTAACTGGGGAATTGTATTTGAACTTATTAGAAAATCTGATAAATCCTCTTATAACCGAATCCTTAGAAAACCAAATAGATCAAGATGGAAATTTGTTACTAGACGAAGAAAACCTATTTTTTCAACAGGACGGAGCACCTCCACATTGGCTTAATGAGACATTTCCAGATAAATGGATCGGAAGAAGGGGCGCTATAGAATGGCCAGCGAGATCACCCGACCTAACGCCTCTTGACTTTTTTTTATGGGGACATCTAAAAACTGTGGTGTATAAAACTCAACCTCGCGATATTCCTGAACTTAGACGTAGAATATTGGAGGAGTGTGAGCGGATTACACCAGAGACGCTTCAAAAAGTGCGGGATGAATTCGAGCTGCGACTTTACCATTGTCTTGCCAACAATGGCGGACATTTTGAACATCTTATTTAAGTACAATGTAATTCTTACGCAAATAAAATATTAATAATGTAAATACAATGTAAATAATAATTATTTTAATTTAAAAGGTTAAAATGGCATAACTTGGTGAAAAATTAATCCGATTTAAAAAAATAATGTGTCAAAAGATTGGAAAAAAAGAGACCTTTAAGAAGAGCTATCACATGATACCCCTTTCTATTTAAAATTTTAGAAGTGATATTCACCACCGCTTAGGGGATGAAACTGCACGGTTACAGATACTTGTAAAATATGTCCCCCCGTAAATATAAATTAACGTGTTTTTTTGTTTTAAAAGTTATTTTGTGTGGCTAGTTTTGAAATGAAATCTCTGTATATTCAGCTCGTAGAAGGACCAGAAAATTATGTTGGATTTGTAGGTTATTATAAGTTGAACCCAACACAACTTATAAATACGACCCTAAGGCGCGCTTACTAAGTGGACTGTCTGCTTTCGGTGCTAGCTGCAACCACCTCCATACAGATAATGATATTCCAACACTTCGTAAAAACTATTGTGCAAAAACACTGCACGACAACTTTTAAATTTGTACATATTTACACTACTTTTTTTTAAAAACTACTTACATGCTTAACACTGTATTATTAGAGAACACGTCTGACTTCTAGCGAAGCACAGACTCGTCTGATGTTTTGTGTCGATCAAAGAGATACACACATGTCTACGTGTCTGAAACTAGTTAGCCTTGAGTGTTCCGCGCTGATGCAATTCGGTGGATGCGGTTATTGTCACGTACATTTGTTTACAGTTGCTAATAATGAACATCTGTCTTTGATATGTTTCAAACGGTTTTGAAACGCATATAATAAACTAGAATGAAGATATATAATCCCCTATTTTTTCAGAATCAATAGGCTTCATCCCCCCTATAAATGCTTTATTTTTCCGGAAAAATTAAAGTTAATATTGCTTTTTGTTTCTGAGTTTTAACTTCCATTTTTATTCAGATTTTTTTTTTCAGAATCAATAGGCTTCATCTCCTTATAGAGCTTGATTTTTACTAAATATTTCAAGTTGATATTGTTTGTCGTTTTTGTTTTATGATTTTTTAATTTCAGTCATCCCTTAACTTCTCCATTTTAATAAGATTTTTAAAAATCAATAAGCTTTGTCCTCTTATAGAGCTTGATTTTTAATGAAAATGTCATGTTATATCGCTTTTCACTGTTCATTTATGATTTTTTTTTTATTTCAACCCCCCTTAAGCCCACTAATTTTGATACATCCAAAATGTGAATTTGAGGATTAGATTCAAATCTATTGCAAGTTAAAAAACAATGTAAATAAACCAGTCTTTAATAAGTTTTACAAAAAAAATGTATTACAACTTATTTTGTAGACGGTTTGAAGTTATTTGACAACTTTCTTCAACATAATATTTTGGAATAATTCTCACTGAAAGTCGAAACATAATTATTAGTTTATATATATTTTTTTAATTTCAAACAAAAAGCTTACCAAAATGTTCTTTAATTTCCATTAGTTTACTTCTGTAAATTTCATATAGGGTCTTATTATTCCTAGAAAAAAATTAATTGACACATTCAATTTAGGTCATAGTAACCTAACTGTATTTTTGATTTATGTAACAATTGTTTATTGATTGAATCATTTTTAATGCAAGAATAGCATTTTATTATTTCATTTCTAGAGGGTGAATCCTAAGTTCATACTTTTCACTGTGTAGTTATAGAAGTCGTTAAAATAGTTTTTTTTTTCAAATAACTTTAAAAAAAACTCAAAAATAAAGATAAAAAAGTGATAAATATAAATCCGGGACTGAACTTGTAAGGAAAAATTAAACAAAGTTTATCTGGTTTTGTACGAATATAAAACACGAATATTGTAGTAGTATTTATTTGTTCAGTATGGTAAGAACAAATTGAAAATTAGACTTGTTAGATAAGTGCGCGGGTGACTGCATATCAGGTGAGATAAATCGAAGAAAAATGTGGACAACTGCGGGAAAATCAATTAATATCCCGTTCACGTTCAACTTGAACATATCCCGGTAATATAATCAAGATTTTTTTGACGAAAGTTATACAGGACCGTATTGGTTACATTTTGAAATTAATTATACTACGTTTTTTATGATTGAGTTTCTTTTTTAAGTTTTTTATTTTAATGACTTTTATGCACTGTTAAAACAGTATCAACTTGGGATTCACCCTATATAATGTGACAATTTCTTCTCAAGAATTACAAAATTAGATTACATTAAAAATCATATTATAATTGTTTAAAATAAGTTGTAGGCAAAATAATCGATTTTTTTCAATTAATCGATTATTTATTTTGATAATCACCCAGTCCTAGTTAGGATTGATCTATGAAGCCACATATTTAATTTTTCCACATGGCACAATCACTTTTAGGTTAGTAATGAATATCTGAGTACCTGATCAAATAATCATTCAACAATGTAAGGAAATAGCCCACATAGCACACGGACGTCTAAAAGACGTCATTTAGAGGGACATAAAGGACGTCCGAGGGACGTCCTATTTTGGTACATGGACGTCCTAATGTCCCGTTTCTGTCCATCTTAGGGACGTCCCTGGGACATCCCAAAAGGACGTCAAAGGGACCTTTGCGGGACGTCCTAGGGACGTAAATCAGACGTCCGAGGGACGATATTTGACCATAATCCATAAAGAGTAATAATAACAAAAATGTTAACAATAAAAGAGCTTTATTTAACAACTTTTATCCTAAAAAACCTAGCTAGAGTTAAACGTTTTCAGTTTACAAAAAAAAAACAGGAATGAATTAAATTTAACACACAGCGCTGGCAAGATGAAACCTTGGGTCCTACTTATAGCTTGTGTCGACAAAACTGAGTATTATAATTTTGTCCAAATTAGTTTTGTTCCAACTTTCCGCCATTAAGGTATTTTCTTTCCGCCAGCGGCTACCGACACATCACTTATTCTCACATCAACACAAAACACTCACTTCACTTTATAACCACTTTACCACCAGCATCAAAAAAATAACAAATAACACTTTATAACCTTCTTTTTTCTTCGTTAATCTAACTCACTTATTTAAGTTAATTATTGAATGCCGAAAATTGTAGCTATTGTTGTTCATTTGAAAATAAATGATAGGTTAGGTTTTCTGTCCTCATACTCTTGCAAAATCAAAACGTTGAATTTCAAGTTATCGATTCAAAGACCAACGATGCTAGTGCATAGAAAGTCCCATAGACGTCCCATTAATGTCCCGGACTCGGACCGAAAACTAAACGCTTTGTCGAAACGGGACCAAAATAGGACGTCCTTCTAAGGACGTCCTAGTGTTAACTGTAATCGGAAGTCCAGTGGACGTCCTATTTAGGTCCGGGACCAACCGGACCAACAAGGGACCAAATCAGGACGTCCTGTGCTATCTGGGAGGTTGGGTAATAGACCTGTTAATATTGAAAAAATATACCTTCTAGTTTTTTGGATAATTCTCTCATCTACCAAACTGTTTAAACAATTTCCCAAAGTATCTAAATTTAACGAATAGGGATGGATAATGTCCTTTTTCTTTTCGATTGAATTTTCTAATAGTTTCTGAGCATTCGTCAAAATTGATTTTTCATCAGTTACATCTGGAAGTCCCTAAAATATTTACGTCAAATTGAAAACTAAAACGCTTTTACAAGAAAATTAAAACTGTAGTGATAAACATTTTCTATAATCGTCGATAGAAAGTACAACAAAATTTAATGGTTAGAATTTTTTATCAAACAGTTTTATAATAATCTTGTCAAAACTAGATAATATCTTGTACATAACACAAAATGTCTTTTTGTATAACTCGTTCTAATTTTAACATAAAGTAACATTTTTTGTAATTGCAGCAAGTGTCAAAATGATCTACTTTACGTAACCACTTGCATAATGTTGAATATTCACTCGTTACATAAAATAAGACATTTCGTAACTGATTGCATAAATAGCTATTAGGTTAAAAATGACTGTAAAACTTACCTCTAACACTATTAAGGTAGTAAGAAACGATACATAAAATGCATTGAAAGTATTAACAATTAAATATCTTAGTTTTTCGTTGTTTTCTAGTTGGTAACTTCCATTGGTTAAACTAACAAGATTTAAAGATATTGCATTATTTAGGGCCGTATTAAATACCTAAAACATAAATTCGACGAGTTTAAGAATATTGATAAAATAATATTTTAACTGTCAATTAATTTGAAGAAAGAAAATAACAGAAACTCTGCAAAATGTATTTTACACTTTTTTTTATTTAAGCCTAATTTTGTTAGTTTCAACTTTATAATACAATACATATAAAAAGAAAATTATTGTTTTAAATAGTAGAGGGAAAACAGGGGAAACGCTAAGATCAGAATCAAACTGTACGGGGGAGGGGAAACTTGTATCAAACCGGTTTAATGACGATACACATTAGGAGACGAAGCCATATTGTATGAGGGAGACTTTTGGATCAAACTCATCTCCTATCATGGAGATCACAAAAGGTTATTAAACCGGTTTGATCCAAGTCTCCCCATACAGTTTGATCCTGATCTTAATGTTCCCCTTTTCCCTCTATTTAAAATGTTACATTAATTTTCATAAATAACAACGCCATCCCTTGTACATTATGGGAAGAATTTCTACAAGCCGACTTTGGATTATGAAATGTACGCATTTGACAAAACATAATTAAAGTAACATGAGATTTAATAAAATAGCGGTATTTTTTAGTAATTATAACCAATTAAGAAGTAAAATTACTTGAGTTAGTTCGAGTGCTTATAAGTAACTAATATTTACGAATCCAAATAAAATAGATAGAAAAAGTAACATATACCGTTTTATCCTTAGGTGCTAAAGTAATAAATTCTCTTGCAAACAGAGACCTCAAGAAGTGATAGTTTTCAAACAATTCGTCTACAAAAGAAGAATATACAAACTATATTACATTGTTATGACATGCAATTTTATTAATAACTGGTAAACTTAATAAATAATATTATTATTAATAATAATAATATTAAATAATAGTAACATTCATTTACTGCATGTACTCACCTTCATTCATTGATTTAGAACTTAAAATAACTAGAATAATATTTATATCGACGAAGTAATGAAGAACGGGGTTGACATAAATCTGTAAAGTCACAAATGGCACTGAGTACGTCATAGTTTCATCGCTAAGCAAGTGGCCCTTTAACTTCTTGTGATTAATCTCTCCGTGACTAATTTTATTGCTTACAATTTTAATTTTTTTATTTCTATTTATTCGTATTAGATTTTTGTGAGTGTTGAAGCAATCGTTGATACTTCTTTCTATGTTGGTTGAATGTGTAAATCCCCCTAAAAATCTCACTGTTTCTCTAATCCATTGGACATCTTTTGTAAGTTCTTCTAAAGTCAACAAATCTTTTTCGTAGACTAGATTGTTGTTCAGTATTAGAGATACTAGGTTAAATACGGTTGTAACTAAAACCTTTTGTTGGCGATTTAAAATTTCATATGCTAATGAAGGTAAAAGCTTCTTTTCCTCATCGGTGACTTCCTGCTGATGTAGCGCTCCTAAATTGTGAACGCTTCTGTCCACTTTATTGCCGAAAAATTGTTTTACAGATATCGGTTTGTCCATGTGAACATAAATATTACCGAAGCTTTCTTTTAAAATTTTCATCGACTTGAAGAAACCCTGAAAAGTAATTAAAGCTTAAATTATTGTAGTGTCATCCAAAACCAGGTAGAGACCACAAAATAATTGGAAAAACTCATTAAAGATGAAACAAAATTGAAAAATAAAAAATCTGCCTTTTGGACATTATAAAGCCCTAGTCAGTGTCTGGCACAACGGTTAGTGTTATTACTTTGATTCAAATTTTGAAGGTTTAGATGTTCAAGAAAACCTTCAGATCTATTGTATCGCAGATTCTAGATGGTCAAAGCTGGACAGTGGCGAGAAATGAAGGTGCAAAGTTGAGAAGACAAAAAAGTACTATGAAGTATTAATAAGTTATGTAAATAAAGCCTTTAACTTATTATCTATAATTTTTATTTTATGTCAAATTTTCCTGAAATGGTCCGTATTCGAGAAATTTGACAAAATGTGCAAAATTCTGATTTTTGAGAAAATTGTTAAACTAATAGTTGTTTGCGATATCGATCTCTATAATTTTTGTTTTTACATGATTTTTCTAAAATGGACCGTAATGGAAAAACTTGAGGAAAAGTGCTAAATTTAAATTTTTCAGTATTTTCGTTTTCAATGAATATCTATAGAAAAATGTATAGAGGTACTACAGTAGGTTATACAAAATAACCGGAAAAAGTCTATAATAAAAATTAAAACTAGAAGTATAAACAGTTTGTATAAACGATTAAAATTCAATGAGGGTATTTAAAATTATGAACTTTCACTTACAGATGTACTTTCTTTAGGTTTGGGAACTCCTAATAGTTCAAATGCAAAAAGGTTTTCTTCTAAAATCCTATCGTAACTTACACCAATTGGCACAAAATGTATATCAGGTACTTGCGAAAAGAAAAATGCTTTAAGAACCATGGTTAATAAACCTAAAATAAACATTAACACTAACTAAAATTTGTTATAGTTGTGCCTTTTTAAAATGAATGTTTTTTCTTATTTCAAAAAGATTATTAGGCAATAAACATATTTTTACATTTTCATTATTACTTTTTACCCAATTACTACAAAAAAAAAATTAAATTGAAAGTATATAATACTGTGTGTAGCAGCCACATGGAATAAGTAGCTCAATCAATGCTGTGCATTTTTATAAATAAATAGAGTTTCGATCTTTTTAATGATAAAGCAAGCAAAAATAATTTCAGTGGCCTTTTTCGACGGTATTAACAAACAAAAAATATATAAAAAGTTGTCAACATTCTTAATTTCGTTTAAAAAACCTTAGCAACTTGCTGTGTGATTATAACCGCATGACATTAATTGCTGTCAGTGATGTACGTGTCATTTCAATGTATTAACTACAAAACAAAAATATATGAAAAAAATACGTGTGGCACTCGGGGACTGCGGCGGTAAAGCTATTGCATAGCATTTTTTATCAATTTAAGCAATTATAATTATTTGTTTATTTTATTTATGCAGTATTTTTTTTTCTTTGATATTAATTCAAGTTACACTTTTTGAGCGTGGTGACCGATAAGAAAACAATTTTTTTTCTTTGATTGAATAAATGAGAAGTTAATATTGTTTAAAATATTTTTATCTTACAATACATGTAGGTTATTCAGGAATTTTTATCATTGAAACTATAGGTTTATGGTAACTGAAATAAGAAACATAAGTTTGAAACTTGATATCCCCTAAATATCTGGAAAATACCGCGTCAATGGTGGTCCCATATTTTATTGTGGATTCTTGTGGATCATTATTCATTTTCAAATTCATTTTTTCCGAAATTGTGTCTAAAAGAGATAGACAGTTATGAGCAGTTAGCAGCTAGTCTACACGCATACGTCTAGTCGCACGCACACAAACACCGTGCCGAAGTCTGCCGAACTGAAACGACGTTAGACAATGCACGGCTTTCAACGCCGCACCGCTGTGCCGGTTTATTTTCGTTACGGAATTTCTTGATTCGGTCGCCGCGCTCAAAGCCCGCGATAAAATCTATGCAATAGCTTAATAATGAAATAGTTAACACTGATAAAATAAAAATTAATATTTTATAAATTAATATCTAATATTTACGCCAGCCGGGAACATTTGTGATATCAATTTATTAGAAGCCAGAGAAAGCTCTTCTAGTTCTTATATAGCATAAACGTTCCAGTCCGCAGACGTATATTTAACTCCGCTTCATACTAATACGAATAGGGTCGGATAAAAACTTCCACAGCTTTTAACGCCGCACCGCTGGTCGGAGTGGGGGGTGTTAGGTTTATTTTCGTTACGGAGTTACAGAATTTCTTGATTCGGTTGCCGCGCTCAAAGCCATGCAATAGCTTAATAATTTTATAAATTATTATTTACGGAGATAAAACATGAACACACATCGAAGTTGTGTGAAACGTATAAAAAAGTGTGTTGAAGAATATTTTCAGCAGATGATAGAACATTTTCCAAAGGGTTCAGTTATAGTATTGGATAACGCTAGTTACCATTCCCGTCCATTTGGACGTGTGCCAAATAATTTATGGAAGAAAGATTGAGCTACTGAATGTATTCCATTTGGCTGTTACATACTGTATATCATAAATAAAAAGTATTAAAAATACATATTTTTATAACTGTCATAAATGAAATTCCAGTATTATATTGAATAATAAATAGTCAAGCTTGCAAACAGTAAAGAAATTAGATTGTTGTCATATTTTCAAAATGTTTAATTAATTAGTAACCGATTGTAGAAAATTCAAATGCAATCAAATGTATTCTAAAACATGACCTGCGTAATTTTCTTTCATTATTACCGAAATGTTTTTTTTTTCTTTTTTCATTTTAATAAAATCAATTTTTTTTCTAATTTTATAAAAAAAATATAAAGGTGACACGACATTTGTACTTAAAAATATTTATTTTCTTTATATTGTTTCGAATACAACTGGAAATAATTTTTTAACCAAAGAACTGTCTCACTACGTCCTTGTCTGATGGACGATGCGCTGCCTTTCGATCTTATGTATTTTTAACAGCCAGCAACCCCTATTTGCGGGTACTTTTACATGGGCAATAGCATTCAATCGCGTAGAGATAAAAATTAGCTTTAATTTGATATATCATTTATTAAGACGTTATGAACGTATAAATTGAACGACCTATGTACATCTGGTTGACAAGTGGTTGCGACCAAGTGAGAAACGACAAACCTAATGTTTTCAAGTTCTTTATATATCTCTTTTTGACATGAATGATAATATTTATTATTTATTTTACTACTAACATGAAAATTCACCATTATTTACTCCATTCCTCTAATGAGAAGTAATATTTCTCACCCTAGGTAAATAATGATAAAATAAAAAAACACCTAGGTAAATAATAAAATTGAATTCCATAGTTTCATTTTGTTAATTTGACAACTAAACTCCCATACTACTTAATATTTCAAAATAAGTAGGAAATAACTAAATCTCGGTTTATCAAAATCTAACCAAATCAAATATGGTAAAATATCAATGATAGTAGTTCGGTAAATAATAGCTCACTTCTCAACCTAAATGTATAATATACTAATCTTCAAAACAAATAAACAAAATTGTAAAAAAATAATCAAAAGTACTTGCAACCATATTTTGATAGGCCACCCAACAATACCGTATCAATAATAATTATCTATACAACTTGTATTTTGATTATAAAACAGATTAGTTCAGTAATTACACGTTTGATCTTCGATGTCACTTAAACGTTAATCTATATCTAATAAATTTAAAATTTGTGTATTAAATTTTGCACATGCTTATTATATACATGTAAAAAAAAACTTTTACCATATTTTGGCGAAAGTGACTTATTGCTTCTACTTCTTGTTCCTTCTATGAAAAATTCTATGGGTAAATCGCCTTTACTGACTAATTGGTAGACATATTGTCTAAAAGTGGTCCAGTATAAATGGTCATCATTATATGTTCTCCTCATAAAAAAAGCACCAGTGTCTCTGAGCAACGTTCCCATACCCCACATACCATGAAAATCTTCAACATTTTATTAATGTTCGTGAAAGATGTTTTATGAAAAATAAGAAATGTTATTGATAGTTGCAATAAATAAATCATCTATTTGTTCCTGTTCAAATACAAAACAAAATACGTCCTGGAGTTGTGAAACGTGTCACTCTAATTAATAAAATATACTCAAATAAGCATTGTTAACATTATAGTCTTAAAAATAAAGTATATGGCATACAATACTCCCATAATATCTTTGACTAGTACATGAGTCAGCAAAATATTCTTATTGTAGAAAAACCGTTATAATATCTTTGGAAAAAGCTGAAATCGTTGTTTGGCGTAGAAAATATTATATTTTTTAGTGATCTGTACGGGCAGTATCGGCCACTGAACGTTTTCCAATATGCGTTGCACAAATCCATGTGAAAACTAAAGAGAGCATTAGGTCAGGCCATATAAACTGGCATCGCTGATACTATTCGTTTCTTGCTCGCGCTAATGCTTACTCTCTGTAGTTTTCACAGGCACTTGTGCAAAGCAGTGGCGTGCGGTGATATTTTTGGAAGGGGAAGCGATTGTATAAAAATACAGCAGGCCAGTAAGCACAGCACCGCAGGCGAAAATTTTTCGCGGCGCATTCACCATTTTGTCAAAATCTTGCTTTTTTCCTCAGTACTACGGATATTCGAGATTGAGATTTTTGAAGTGTTACTATTACTTTATTACCTAGTTTAGTACTAGAAGCTATAAAAAAAACTTACCATTGAAAAGCTTCCTTGGTTTATTTAAACGTAAAAAAAAACATTTAACTGAAATTTTTTTTATTTTTTTCCAGCATTTTTGGCACAGTTGACACAGCAGTTGACATTTATTTATACTTAAGATCTATTCGCCTATCCTCAATGGCTGCAAATTTGTCTATAACATCGTCGTAAAATTTTGGATTTTCTGATAACTATTTAACAAGCTGTTTTTCAATGGATATTAGGGCTAAATTAGAGAGTCTGTCTTCACTTGTTGAATTTCGTATAAAACTTTTAATGCGCTTTAAAGATGAAAAACTTCGCTCAACTGACGCACTTGTGGCTGGGATGGTTAGTACTAACTCACACAACTTGCCGACTTCACAAAGGGACTTATTTCAACTAGTTGTTATAAAAAAATTTAACATATTGACGGGCGTCTTTTTATCACTAATTTCAGTTTTTTCATAAACAACACTTAACTGGCACTTTAATGCTGGAATATCGAAAAAATTTCCATAATTTAATTTTAGTGAATTAAAAGCTTCCGATGGAAATTTTGATGAATCGTAGTTACTAATATTAAAATTGCACAATTTAACAAATTTTAATTCGTTAAAGTTTTGAAATCGAGATTTCATTTGTTGTAAAATATTATCCTAAGAATCGCTCTTGAGGAATGCCATCCAATACATACCGCACAACAATGGATAATTGACTTAAGTTTGCTACATCTGTGGTTTCATCAAGCGCAATTGATACGAAAGGTGATTTTTTTATTTCACTTTTAATGTGATCCATCACAACGTCGGCAGTGCATTTAATTAAATCATTTTGGATTGTGTTTGAGGTACCTCGGAAAGTCGTCGAATCAATAAAATGATTTTTTAGGGTATCATCGTATTTTGCTAAAAGAAGGTCCATGTAATTTCCTCAATTGGCAGATCCACTTGCTTCATTGTGACCCCTAAAACTTAGTTCACGCTCTCCCAGGAAACAAGTTACATCTATTAATCGTTGTAAGACGTCCCTATTTTTTTTACCCTTTCATATGATTGTCCAAACTATGTTCAATGCGATAGGCCCCAAATGTTTTTTCTTTAATTGTAGCATTTATATGAGATTTGCTATTTACATGTCGTTTTACACTTTTGTGAAAATTATTAAAGTCTGTAATACCGACTGAATTCCAATGTGTTTTTTCGGCTATATTAAAAAGTAGGCAAGGCCAGCAAAACAATTTCTTCAAAGTTTTGCAGCCGGTTAACCATTCATACTTTTCGTAGAACCCTACGTGAAAATGCCTGCTAAATTTCTTTCGTCTCTAAATTGATAGGATCCTTTAGTCTACGAGAATTAATAATGTCCGTTTTCTCTTCAAAATTTCTGCTTGAAAATCCTTTTTTAATAAAGATCACACAATACATACACAATTTACCACATTATATTATTGTTCACAGGCACATTTTACAAAAAGAAAAACAACTACGAAAAACAAACCGAAATCTATCTGAGGTCTACGAATTTCCTTACACGTCGATTCGCGGTGCGAATTGCAATATGCATAAGGCGACTTAAAAATCGCTGCCTCTCGACCGTATTTCTGTGTACAAACAGACTGACTCTGTCGCGGCAAAGCAGAGTCAACACGAAGCGAAATCAATTGGAAGATGAGCCGGCTTTTTTAAGACGCGCTTCCGCCGACGGACTCGATGTATATGTTGTTCGTTTACACAATTAATTTTCTCATGGATGGTGCGTGCGTTTACACATTACACCAATGAATTGTTAGTACATTTACGAAGTTTACGGAATGTTTCAGAGAAAATATAGTACCTAATTTAATATTAATTTCATATGCATTGTAAACTGACAAATATTTATTTTTAAATCTCAAAGTGTAGGGAAGCGGTGCTTCCCCCGCTTCCATGGACCGCACGCCCCTGGTGCAAAGGTGTATTGAAGTGTTCGATAGCCAATACTATGATTCCAGACATTTTTTTCTGTCTACAATTAAGTATTCAATTTTATATTACAAACTATTTATTTACGATTTTGTAATCCTCCGGACCAAAGTCCTTTATTGATTATATTTTTCTTATTTATTTTAACAATTCCAGTTCGAGGTCAGATACAAATCGAAAAAGTAATACTTCGCAAAACCTGCTTAATTAATACGAGTAATTAAAAAACTTGCCGTGAAATATTTTGTATAAAGTTTACATTCATTTTAATTAAATATTTTATGTGCGACATAATATATAAACCAAGTTAAAATTAGGTTGCTTTTGTAGATACTTTTGGTTATTTTGTAATCATTATGTAAAAAATAATATAATTAAGAATATTTTGTTAACAAATTTTCACTAATACAAAAAATTCGTGTTTTCGAAACGAATACGACTCTATATGAATTTTCTTCTATATGAGTGAAACATCTTCTCAACTCCAAAAATAAAATCATATCCCAATATCTAACAATATTACATTACGAGTGTGTGAAGTGACATTTTTCACACGAGTAGGAAATATTGCCGAACCAGGCATAAGCCAGTCGAGTGCGAAAATCACACGAGTTTAAAAAATCACTTTTTTACAAATAATGTACAGTATTTATCTATCCTACGACCACAAAATAATATAAGGAAATCTGGCTATGGAGGTTCAATCAAGATGTAGCTTATTCTAGATTTGTTTTTATAAGCATCTTTGAACATTTTCTTATGTAAATAAACGTGGAAATAAGCTAAGATCCATTCTGGTGAAAATTGAGACATCCAAGGTAACTCATAGAGAATCGAAGTCAGGCTATCAGTATATTTGATGAGCGACTAGATAACGTCGCGCTGCGAATTCATAGAAATTTATAGCAATTCATAGAAATTCGTAAAAATACATACGAATTTATAGAACAGAAATTCATAAAAATTTATAGAAATTCATAGACATTCATAGAAATTCATAGAAATTCATAGAAATTCATAGAAATTCATAGAAATTCATAGAAATTCATAGAAATTCATAGAAATTTATAGAAATTCATAGAAATTCATTTCACTGCTGGTAAAACAACAAAATTCTTGTTATGGCTAAGATGCCGGTATGTCGCGGTCCCTAAGTAAGATTTTGAAGCTTGGCCAATCAAGTTTTACCTTTCGATTTTTGTTATCTTAGCTTCCTGAGCAGACTCGCCTTCTTGGGCTTGCACACACCGACTCTGAAGGGTGTGGACTGTATGTAAAGGGCTAGTATTTGAAAGTGCCGGGAAGGTTTTGTGAGTCAGTACCAAACTACAATTTTAGCAGGAGCATGTGTACTTTACGGTAGTCGAAGCGATAATAGCCCGGTTCAAAAGACAAATCGTTCTTAACGACGGTGGCCAGTGACTACTTAACTACACTTTTGACGAAATATAATTACTTTAAAGTAATTATATTTCGCCAAAAGTGAAATATATTAAATAACTGAACACTTAACAGCTTATTTATTGTTTCGGCCTTTACTTGATGAAAATCCATTTAATTTTGAAAGAGTAAAACCAAATTTGGTAGATTTTCACTTTTATTTTAAAAATAAAATTTTTTTAAAAAAAACACTAACATGACATATGTTTCGAAGTACAACTTCTTTTTCAAATGTGACTATTTACAATTCGGTATCCAATATATATACGAAATAATTTAACAAAACAAAGTACTTAAGAAAACATCAATAACATTACAAAATAAACTATTTAAAGTAAATATTGGATATTATAATTACCTAAGTACCCTTATTTACTTTAAATAGTTAGTTTATTTTGTAATGTTATTGATGTTTTCTTAAGTACTTTGTTTTGTTAAATTATTTCGTATATATATTGGATACCGAATTGTAAATAGTCACATTTGAAAAAGAAGTTGTACTTCGAAACATATGTCATGTTAGTGTTTTTTTTTTAAAAAAATTTATTTTTAAAATAAAAGTGTGAAAATCTACCAAATTTGGTTTTACTCTTTCAAAACTTAACAGCTTGCTCAATATTAATATTTTATAACACTTTCCGGTCTCGACATTATTTTTATTTTTGGCGCCTCGACGTTACTGATAAGATTAATAATTACACAATATTATTTTATTATGTATGATATAGGGCACTTCCCATAAGACTAAATAGTGCGATATGTGTCCCTTTCTTAAGTGGTCGTAGGAAAACATATTATCGTGCCATTTACTAACAGCAGCACCAAAAGGTATGTGAGGAAATATATTCGGATTCAATTCCCATTAATAGTTTTTCTCGATTTTCGAATGAATAAAAAATTAAATTTGTACTCATACTTTTAATTTTTTTTAATAATTTCGAAACGTGTTTGATGGGGTTAGTCCACGCTATATCGATAACCGAACAGAACCCAAACTATTTATTGGTTTATTATAAAAGCAACAATTTTTTATAAATTTACAAACTTTATTTCTGTCATAAAACAATTTGAAAGGCTGGAGAAAAAATGTTTTTATTTCGTTTATATTATGATTCATATATTAGACAATTATTTACTTACCCATCCCAGCTGCAATCGCAGGTATTTCAATGTCATATTGAAAAGTTATGTATGACATCATTATGAAATCACCATAACTCCTATGGGTAGGTACAAAAATAACTGGACAATGTCCCATTTGATTTTTTATCTTCAAAAAACAGCAAAAATATTTATTCATATTGGGTAAAGTGTTTTCAGCGAAATTATAAATGTTTCTCTCATCGTCAAAATCATTTTCTACAGTAATTAAATAATTTATGTCAACCGCAAAAATATTATCTTACACAAGGGTTGTGTTTATTATTTCTAAACTCCTAAACAGAAGTAACGTTCAAATTAATACAATAAACTCTTTAATTAATTGGAGTCTGATGTCACGTGACCAAAATTTACTCCCACTCTAACTCTAATCCGAGTTTTCCACATGTGTAAACAAGTAGAATGATAAATGTGGCAACATTTTATATGTTAGTCTCTCTGTGACATCTATTTAAAAATTGATGTACTAAGAAATTACAGGAATTGATAAAAAATCTCCACTTTGACAAATAAACTTCTTCAAATTTTCTTAGATTTAAAAAATACTAAATAAGATTTAGAAATATTTGGGTGGTGACTTAGAAAAATATGTATCTACTTTTTAGCTTTGGTTTTAAAAATAACTCTTTTTTTTAAGTGGGAGATTAATTCTTTAAACCTTATATTATCATATTAACCCAAATTAATTTGGGTTAATTTGTGCTACAGAAACCAATAACCTTTAAAATTAAATAATTACACAACCGTTTGAATTATGATTGAGGTTTGCGGCATTGAGATTTTCTCCTTGAACTCTACAAAATGTGAAAATATACTTTAGGCTAATACAATAATTAATACATTTAATTTAGATGTTTGCTTACCTGTTCTACTTGTTCTACATTGATGTAAATTCCTGAAAGCACAGTTAGACAAATTTTTGTTAACATTAAACCCAGCCATCGTATAATTTTAAACTTTTTTTCATAGCCTATTTCATCTAAAATATCTTGAACTTGATGTTCCAGAACAGATTTTGAAATATTACTTCTTGAGCTTATCTAAAAGAAACATCCATATTCATTTATATTAATAAAACCTAATAAACAAGTAGTAGCGATGGAGAGCTGAAATTGCTTGGTTTAGATTTTCATTGGCATTTTATTTATTGCAAAAATACAGATGTACATTTTGACATAAATAAATATTCCTATATATTACGGAAAGATCAATTAGTACACATATATTATAATAAGGATTAGTTTTAATTAGTTCAGCTTGTTTCACTATACTGGAATTGCTGGCATTTAGGAACATGGTGTGGTATGGTAGTATAGAAACTTTACATCAGGTGCAGCCGTGGCCCAGTCTATAAGGAGGCTACTTTTGAATATATACTTCTAATAGAATGCAATGTAATATTTCTGCTCTTTATATTCCAATAAAAAAAATATATATATATATATGTATTAACTATAAAAGTAGCCTCTTCGTAAAATAGGCCATGAGCTGCCTCTGCTTTACATCATCACCTATTATGATTATTTTTCACATATTTTATCAATTTTTGTCACTGAACATATTATTTCCGTTCCAGGTTTCATGTAATTTTTATTGAGTACCTATTTATTTTAAAAAACATGAAAATATCGAGAATGCTGACCTGTTCAATTAATTCTTGAATTTTAGGGCTATTCAAGACAGCTTCTTTATGAAATTGAGGAGAAGGTCTAGACTGACCTTGTCTGAATGCAATTTTAGGATCCCATCTTTTTGATATCCATAAAAAATTTGAAGTTTCTTGTCTTCTTAAATCCAAGAAATTATCATATTCGCGCACAATACTCATATTATTTGTATATAAAAGACAAGTTCACAAATCACTACTAATTACAGAAAAGAAACAATATTTATATTATCTTACAGATATACCAAAATTAACGCGATCAATCTCAAATTATTATCTTATCTAAATTTAATATAAATTTGATATGCAAGTAAAAATAAATGTACTTGCAAGTTGCAAATATGCAACAAAATATATGGAAATCAAATTTTATTTTTATTTATCTGCTTCTCTAACCAGGGTTGCCAGTCAATACCGTCAATAAAAATGTACTAAAATTTTAATTTTTAGTATATTTTGAAAAGACAAACAAAAAAATTATTGTTTTCACTAGTCAATAAAAACTTTAAAATAACATATATTTCTGAAACCCATGTTTTGAAAATAATTAAACTACCATTACTAGTTATTATTATGCATCTTCATTAATATTTTACAATATAGGTACCTATCCTGTGAAATATATATTTTAAATATACAGTTCCCTGTGCCCTGTACCTACCTATATACCTACCAATACCAAAGACAAAAATACAACTATTTAATTTTTAATATTAAAAACATTGTGTGTGAAATATGTATATCAAAAGGTATCAGTGATAAATACAGACAACGGTGATATCTATAGAAACAATAAGTTCAAAAATTCATTTTTTATTTAATGGCCAGCTTTCAATTTTTAAACTGATATAAAGGTACAAAATTCTAAATAATTGGATTTGGGCTAAGTACACTAGAAACTTTGATAATGGAGTAGATTTAGTACGAACGTACTAATTATATCATGACTAGCACTGGCAACGTTGATGACGGATGATAATAACATTTGACATAGTTGCCATGGTAACGTTTTTTGTGTAGACAAGTGCTGCCAACTTTATTTTGACGTCATGACTATCGTGGTTCATTTCAATTATTTCGAAAGTCCATAACTTTTAAATAATTGTTAAATATAACTTATTTAAATATGATGCATCAAATCTATCAAAAGTAAAACAAATAAAGCATTTTCCAATATTCTTTTTCGTGCCGATTCATGCTCAATGTTACCGGTTGTGGCTTGTGTAGTGTATAATTGAGGTCCAAGCCATTATTTACATCATATGGTCGATGGTCAAATAAAAAGAAGTAGTAGTAGTGATGCGTGATGGTTAAACAAATCATAAAAAAGTACAAGAAATAAACTTAATAATACCCATTCCCATTAATATAAAATGGCCACAGAAACGCAAGAAAGTCCAGCTATTTCAGCTGATGATATAAAATTGGCCGAAAAATATAAATCAGACGCCAATGAATACTTTAAGAGTAAGTAACCTATAACATCTACAAAACTTTCATGATAAAAATGATCTTGACCAAATCATGAGTAGATAATAATTATATTAATCATTAACAAAATGTTTAATATTTAGTTTTATTTATAAATATCGTAATTACAATTTTTGCAGAGCAAGATTTCAACAATGCAATAGACTTTTATACCAAAGCAATTGAAAAGAATCCTGAAGTAGCAATATACTATGCTAACCGTAGTTTTGCATACCTGAAAACTGAATGTTTCGGATATGCTTTATCAGATGCATCAAAATCGGTAGAATTAGACAAAACATATGTGAAAGGTTACTATCGAAGAGCTGCTGCTCATATGTCATTAGGAAAATTCAAAGAGGCCCTAAAAGATTATGAATATGTAAGAAATACGTTTAATTAAAAAATAGTTTGTATTTAAATGTAATGATTTTAGGTAACAAAAGTAAGACCAAATGATAAAGATGCGAAAATGAAATACTCTGAATGTAACAAAATAGTTAAGAAGATTGCTTTTGAGAAAGCAATAGCAGTGGACGATAATAAAAACATAGCTGATACCATTAATCTTGATGCTATGAGTAAGTATTAATTGAATTATATATCGCTGTGGACATTCTTGAAAAATACCACTTCTAGAGTAGGAGGCAATTGGCTTCTTTTAACATCCTTCACTGTATATCTTATAATGCTTTAGTAAATCATCAGTATTTGAGGTACATAAGCGGTGGGCTGTTCACAGCGAATGGGTTAAAGTAAAATACAAAAATATGTTTACATATACCTAAGTAATTTTTTCTTTTTACACTTCATTTAAAAAGGCAGCCTGGATATGTGGGGTTGGAAAAACCTATGAATTATAAAATATGTTGGTAGATTTTTTAAGGTTTTTAGTCTGTATATGTCAAAAATTATTATTAATAGTTAAACAAAAAATAGGAGCAAAATTTGAAAAAAAAAAAAAGGTTTTTATTAGGTATATTAAAAGTCATATTCTGCAAACAAACAAAAAAAAACTAAAGCGTGTATAAATGGTATTTTTTTAATTGTAATTATCGCTAATATCAATATCAAGAAGTCCCAGTGATAACCTTTGATAAAATATTTGCATTTGTTTTTATATTCACTAATTTCTGCTGAGAGTCGATTAGCAAAATTTTGAATTCTAAATAAGAAATAATATTTTTATATTCTAAGATTGGATGCATCCTAGTATAATTTTAAATAGGGTTTGTCTTCTTCAATTAGTTTTATTTTGATATAATTTGAACCACCCTATTACAGGATCTCCAAAGCCATATTTTTCAAGCTAGTCCACCTTAAAATGATATGTATATTTTAAGGATATAACTTTGTTCCAAGTTAATTTTTAAAAGAAATTATAGATTTAATACTTAAATATAATTTACAGATTACACTACACAATGTACTTTTCTCAGTTTTACCATAACAATTGGTTTATGTAAATTTAGATAGGTTTAAAATTTACTTTTTTTTTATTAAGTAATTTAGTAGCAAAATATGTTTTGCAGCTATAGAAAATGAATATGCTGGACCAGAGCTTGAAGATGGAAAAGTTACACTTCAGTTCATGAAAGACTTAATGGAATTATATAAAAAACAAGGAAAATTACATAGAAAATATGCTTACAAGGTTCGTTATACTTTAGTAAAAATGACCTAACATAAAAATATTTTTCTGTTCTAAATGTCTATATGGTTTCAGATATTATTAGATATAAAATGTTATTTTATGAAGCAAACCACCTTGGTGGAAATACCCATTGGCGATGAGCATAAATTTACTGTATGTGGAGATATTCATGGACAATTTTATGACTTGATGAATATTTTCGAAATGAATGGACTTCCATCTGAGACGAATCCGTATTTATTCAATGGCGATTTCGTTGACCGAGGATCGTTTTCTGTAGAATGCATTTTTACATTATTTGGCTTTAAACTGTTGTATCCCAACCACTTTTTTATGTCTAGAGGTAAGGAAATGTAAAAATTAATACATAATGATTATACCTTGAATTAATAAATTATTTATATTTCCTGTTATAAAAAAATCTAGAAATTTGGTACTTATCAATGTATTAATGTAATTATTGAATTTTTGAATATCTTTTTAGGAAATCACGAAAGTGCTACCATGAACCAAATGTACGGTTTCGATGGTGAAGTCAAATCCAAATATACTGCTCAAATGGCTGATCTCTTTACTGAAGTTTACAACTGGCTTCCCCTAGCTCATTGTTTAAATAAGAGAGTGTTGGTAAGAAAAACTAATATACAATGATCAATGAAAACTTCTGACCAATCACTATTTATTTATTTTTGTAGGTCATGCACGGGGGCCTATTCACTAGAGACGATGTAACATTAGATGAAATTAGAAAAATTGATAGAAATCGGCAGCCGCCCGATGAAGGTCCAATGTGTGAACTCTTGTGGTCCGATCCTCAACCTCAGAACGGACGGGCGCCAAGCAAACGGGGCGTCGGGTGTCAATTTGGACCAGACGTTACCAAGACTTTCTTAGATCTTAACAAACTCGATTATATTATAAGAAGTCACGAAGTTAAGAATGATGGGTATGAAGTTGCTCATAACGGGCTGTGCATTACGGTTTTTTCTGCTCCAAACTATTGGTATGTATAATTTTTTTTTGTTTTTCTTACACTGAACTTGGATGTTTGTCTATTACTACTATAAATTAATATATTCTTTCAGTGATACTATGGGTAATAAGGGTGCATTTATTACATTGAAAGGAAGCGATATGTTACCAAATTTTACAACATATGAAGCTGTAGTAAGTACTGTATTTCTAATAATAAGTCTTCATTCTATATGTTTAATTGCGATGAATTTTTTATTTAAATGTATGTTTTTTTTTTTCAGCCACATCCAAATGTGAAGCCAATGGCGTACGCGAGTTCATTATTGAGTCTAATGTGCTAGTACCTGTCCTTTGTAGTAATTTTTTTAGATTACTTTTTCGTTTTAATTATTACCTGAATAAATTGAGGAAAATAGTAATTTTATTAACATCTAATTGCTTTAAACTTAAATTGCCATGTAATTTTCGATGAATTAAGGTGTATACAATTTTATTGTTAATAATTTGTTGCCGTTTTTATTATATACACTTAAAATCAATTGTAGGACCATTTCAATAAAGTATTTATTTATTTTTAATTTCATTTTCTGTAGATATGTATGAAATTGTAATAGCTACTTACTGCCCTTTTGTCATTTACGAGGAAGATATTTTTGACATCACCTGTTTACTTTTTTTTTTGAAAATTGTTCAATTTTATAGGGTATATTTTAATAAAAAGTAAGAACGAATGATTTTGTAATTTTGTCTCTTTATTTCGCTGACATAATTTATTTTGGTAAATATTAAATCTAATACCTAGATAAATAAACCTTACCATGAAACAAATAAAAATATTTAAAAAATAATACAAAAGAAGATACTAGAAAAAATAAATAATAAAGCAGGGTACATTATTTTTCAACTATTAGTAATAGTTTATCATGAATGTAAAAATAAACTGCAAATGTAATTTTTGTCTAAGACTTAATTTAGGTTATTGTTTTCCACCACTGCCTACATGTCGATTGGCGACAGATCGAAATGTTGGGTAACGGTTCTAACAATATAAGAAAAACGTTTTGTTTTCTTAGCAACGATACTATTGGGCATTCCAAACCACGGTTCATTCCAAACAAATGAATTGCCAGTGGGAAGGTTTGGTATATCTAAGAATTGCGACATACGATGTATTCTATCTACTATTCGTAAAATCATTATTAATGGTTTTTTTATATCAACACAATAAAAATAATATTTAAAAAACTCGCTTATACATTTCTTCATAAATTGGCAGGCTTGGCGACTACTATTTCGAATAAAAATAGCGTTAAAGATGCAAGATTATGTCGCTACCCCCCTTAGATATACAATAACTTCCCACTGGCGCCTATTGTTTGACAGGTCGTTAGAATGCCTAGTTGTCAAAAATAATTCATTTTTAATGTATTTTTGCATTTTCTAGTAATTATATGAGTGATTCGGGAAGTTTAATATTTGATATTGAAGAACAAGCTTTAAAAGCTATTTCCGGTCTGTTACCGGAAAAATCTAAGTCATAATAATAAATACTTAAGCGGTAAATATAGTTACTTTTTAGTTTAGATTGTGACAGTAATTTGTTATTACATTTAAATAGATTTTGCAAAGACATTACAACTATTTTGTATAATGTCTTTGAGATTTTGACTTTTTTTATTTGATTGATTGAAAAGCAGTAAGATACGAAAAACGCGTGCGTTAATAAACTTCTTATCTCACGCAAAATTAGTTTTTATCTCATGGGCGTAGATAAAATAAAAAATCTGATGTGTCCAACACATGACTTTCCTATCTAGTTATAGGCTTTTTCCGGTTATTTTGTACAACCTATTGCAGCATCTCTATAAATGTTTAGAGGATAAACTAAATAACATTGTCCACATACATTACCTCGAAACATTTTTCTATAGATATTCATTGAAAACGAAAATACTGAAAAATTTAAATTTCCTACAATTTTTTCATTACGGTCCATTTTAGAAAAATCATGTATAAACAAACATTATAGAGATCGATATCGCAAACAACTTTTAGTTCAACAATTTTCATAAAAATCAGAATTTTGCACATTTTGTCAAATTTCTCGAATACGGACCATTTCATGAAATTTTGACATAAAGCAAAAATTATAGATAATAATATTAGAAGTAACTTTTATTTGAACAATTTTCTTCTCAAACATAAATAACAGATATATTCCATAAAATATAAAAACGGCCTCCCATAAAGTACCCCCCAGATGTTCCGACTTTGTCCAAAATCTAATCATTTCACGTCAGGCCGAAATAAACATTAAGTTTAAAATTTGATGTTTTTTTCTTTATCCGTTTTTGAGTTTTCTTCAAAATTCGAAATTTACACATTTTCTCAAATATCTCGAATACGGTCCATTTTAGAGAAATTATGTATAGAATAAAAATTATAGAGAATTATTTTACAAACAACTTTTATTTGAACAATTTTTATAAAAATTTTTTTTTACATTTTGTCAAATTTCTCGAATACGGACCATTTTAGGAAAATTTTGTATGGAACAAAAATTATAGATAATTATATTAGAAGTAACTTTTATTTGAAAAATTTTCTTCTCCAAACGTAAATAACATATATTCCATAAAATATAAAAATAACCACCTATAAAGTACCCCCCAGATGTTCCGACTCTGCCCAAAATCTAATCAGTTCATAAGACGCTCAAATAAAGCTTAAGTTTAAAATTTGGTGTTTTTATGTGTATCGGTTCATGAGTTATGCGACCTACAGACACACACAGACATCATCGCGAAAATAGTCAAAACGGATTCAGGGGACCTCAAAACGTAAAAATCCGTCGAAAACTCGAGGTCGAAAAAAATCATGATTCCTATACTTTCCTTATATCTGTATACAGAAAGTAAAAACGACCCTCTACATGGTGTCCAAAAAAGCAGGCCAATCCGTTAACCATAGATTCCTTAAGTCAGTTTAAGAAATCTATTATTTTTTTCGATTGGGGCCATCATGTTCAATATACTGGGTGACAAAGTTAATTTTAAAAAAGTACGTTTTTCGTTTTATTAAGTAGATGAATATTTTTTGGATTTGTAATTCATTTTTATTTCTATCAAAATTTCTTATATACCCATTAAGGCCATAAAGTCCAAGTAAAACTATTTTTCTGAAACACATTGTTTGAACCACTTTTAGACTCTTGGTTCCAATTTTACATCTATTTTCGCCAGTCGTCAGGTTAATTTTTGTTGTATATTGTCCCTTTCGTCCACAAACTTAAGGCCGCAGTATCACTGTATTTCTCATATAAGAAGCAAGGGTTCACCATTTCCGATTGCATTTAAATCCCGCTAAATGAATTAAAATAAATCTTCTACCAGCTTAAAGTATAAGGTTTGGAGAATGAAATCTCCTATTTTTTATTTGTCCTGTTTATACACTGAATTTAAAAAAAAATCATAAAAAGTGATTTTAAAACCAGAGGCTAAAAAGTAGGAGATTTCATTCTACATATTTTTCCAAGTATCCCGCCAAAATATTTCTAAATTTTATTGCGTATTTTTCAAATCTAACTTGAAATACGATTAACAAATATTTGATAAATTTATTTGTCAAATTAGAGATTTTCTATGAATTCCTGTAATTGTGTACAGTTCATGTAGTTCATCTATTTTTAAGAAGATGTCACCGTAAAAAACAGTATAGCTATTCTACTTTAGAGATGGTTTTAATAGGTAAATGATTGTTTAGAGGTACCAATTTTTGAAACAGTGATACAGGTGTATGCCGTCTTTTATTGTTTCGTGCTTTTCATATATATTTGTCTCGTTTGGTTCCAAATTATCGATTGATTTTGCCTGTGTATGAACAAGTGTTGACCACGTTGCCAGATTATCGATTTATACGATAATTTCACAATTCTTTCTAGGACGAATTTGATTTTAAAGTGGGTGAAATATACAATAGTGAAATGCAGGAAAGGGAAGGAACTTTATTGCATTCCGATGTAAATTAAATCCGAATGACCTGGCATCATTGTATGATACGCACGTAATATTGGCGGTCTTTGCTTTTTTCTCCTGAATGTTATTTTATCTTTATAAGGAATCTTATTTCTGAGTTAACACGTTGACTGCTATGTGTATGTACCCATGTGTATGTCCTATTAGTGCGTAATTGTTCAATATTTTAATTTATGTTAAAGACACGCAAACATGTTTAAAAAAAAAGTTATATGGATTTAAAAAATATATATTTTAAAAATATTTTTAGATATATACAGGGTGCTACATTTTTGCTTGGTATATTTTTAAAATAGAACATGTATTTTATTTCAATTTTAGAATGGTTCGGTAATACTGTATTCAACCTTAGAATAATTTAAAAAAATATTACAGGTCTGCCAAGCAATTAAATTTTTATAAAATTAGAAAATAATGCAGACCCTAAATTAAATTATCATAATTCAAAATTGTTTAATATACTGACTTATAGCACATTAAGATAACGAATAGTAGTGATAGTGCTGGATTCTTTTATAGCGAGTGTTTTGAAACATGTCTTAAAATGGTTACTTTTAAGTCAAATTACTCAATTTTTCAAAGGCAGCATTTGATATAATATTTTAGCATACAATTCCTTATAAATTTGCATATCCAACGATACCAACATGTAAGAGAATAACATATATACAGAGTTTCTCATCAGTGCGTAATTGATCGATAGCTGTTTTATTATTAGAAATAAGAAAAAAAAATAATATAAAAGTTATATGACCATATTAAAAATTATTCCTATATATACAGGGTGGTCCATAAACGAGATGTTGACCAAACCTATACATTTTTAAATCAAAACACCCTGCAGGTAGTTATACATATTTGATTGTTTTCACGTCGTCAAATAATTTTAATTGACTTTATTCATTTGCTATGTTCTATATAGAGTGTGTCAACACGCGAGGTTACATATGCTTAAATTTTTTTCAATGGAATATTATATTAATTGGTGGCATAACATACAAGGTGTTCCATTTAGAAAATTAAGAAAATCGTGACCATTTTCACACATCCTATATACAACATAGCAAATGAATGAAATTGAAATTATTGAAACGATGTGAAAACAGTCAAGTTTTACTTTAAAAATGTATAGGTTTGGTCAGACAATCGTTTATGGATTATCCTGTATATTTATAAATAACTGTTAATTATTATGGTCATACAACTTTTATATTAATTTTTTCGTATTTCCTATTATAAAACTGCTATCGACCAATTACGCACTCATGGGACACCCTGTATATGTGTTATTGATATCGTTGGATATGTTAATTTATAAGGAATTGAATGCTTAAATAATATACAGGGTGTGGCATTTGAAAAAAATTAAATAAATTTAACTTGGAATTAGCCATATTTAAGACTTGTTTTTCAAAACACACTGTACAAAATAATCCAGTTCTATTACCACTATTCGTTAGCTTACTATCTTATTACTACATTTAAAAAAAAATTGAAATTATTTTAAACCTACCTAAATAATGATAATTTAATTTGGGGTCTGAATCATTCTCTAATTTCATAAAAAAAATTAATTTATTGGCAACCCTGCAATATTTGTTAATAAAATTCTAGGGTTAAATACAGCATTACCAAAGCATTCAAAAACTGAAGTAAAATACAGGGATTTCTTTTTAAAAAATATACCGTTTTATTTGTCAGATAAAAACGCAAAACCCTGTATGTCTAAAAATATCTTTAAAATACCTATTTTTAAAATGCATATAACTTTTATTTAGAAATTGTATACGTGTTTACAACACAAATTGAAATATTGAACAATTATGCACTAATGGGACAACCTGAATATATTATTCACAATATATGCACGCGACCTATGTTTGTAATAATTTAATCTCGCGCCGCGTTTATATATTTTATTCATGCGTCTATTAAATATTGTAGTTTACTAAGACCCAACCACAACATTTGCTTCGGCAGTCAACGTGTTTTAAATGCTTTTTTATTAATTTGTTGTTTAATTTGTATTTAGTTATTAATATTTCAAAAATGCTTATTTTTCTTATTGATTAATCTAAAATACGTAATTTTTATTTATAATTGAAAATAGTACTGGAATTCTAAATTGACAAAAAAGTAGAAATATGAAAACATAAATTACGACTCTACCAAATGAAGTAAAATTTTATGATTAATTTCTTTTTTCTTACAAAAACATTATCTCAGCAATATGTCATAAGTTGCATACACACAGTAGGTCTATGTAAGTTGATAACAAATGGAAAACTTTTTTATTATTTATTTTACGAAAAAAAGTTATTCTTCATAAAAATTTATGCATGGTCTAACAGAAAATGCAACCACCAGATAGCAAATTTTATCAGTCGGTTTTACAAGGTTTGTCAAAAAATATAATTTTGCTCTCAAGATAAAATACCTTTATTTTCGACAAACCCTGTATACGACTGATAAAATTTGATATCAGATAATTGAAATTTAGGTTTTAGACCATGCATAACTTTTTATGTAAAGTAACTTTTTTTCTAAAATTAATAGACCATGCAATTGTTTATGAAAAATAAGTTTTTTTTTTTTAATTCTTAAAAAGGTTTTCCGTATGCCGATGACGCCAACTTACATATAAATGAGATTAAATTTTTTGAAAATATTTTTTACTGATGCAGATCTAAATAAAGTATTGTTGGTAAATAAGGTACATTTTTCTTTTTTTATTTGGTTCTTTGGCTGTAAGACCTTTCGGTATATACATGGTATTCCATTAAGAATGGGAGCAACTGAAGATTAATTGATTAGAAATAAGCCGATTAAACGAAACATCCGTAGGTAAAACATTACTTGTTTCCGAAAAACAGAGTTTTAAAGTTGAAAATCAAAAATTATAAATAGCTACAATTTTTTTATTACTCAGTTTAATTTTACTAAATTCGGCAAACGTTATTGGTGTAATAAAATACATCTATCAGCAAAAAATAAGTTAAATAAGCTTTGCCAGTGGCGTACGTCATGGGCCAGTAACATCTTTTTCCTTCTAAATTTTAGTCCACGTCCACTTTTGATGTTTTTTAAATAAAGTTGAGTTAGTTTTTGAGATATTCGCACATATTAGAAAATTCTGTAGTTTTTAAATTTCGATTTTTTTTTTATTTAATTTCTAAGAGTACATTATTTATTTTAAAAACATCAAAAAATTTAAAATTTTATGTCCAAAAAACATTTTGGATAGTGACGTAAAATTTAAGAGGTATGCGGTATTACGAACGAATGCTGTACGCCACTGGAAAAGTTAATTAAGGTAACTTATTTTTTTGCTGATAGGTGGATAATTTGACACCAAAAACGTTTGCCAAATTTAGTAAAATTGTTGTGAGTAATAAAAAAAATAAAGCAATAAATATTTTTTGGATTTTAACACCTTAACTCGGTACCAAGAAACATTTTATCTAAGCATGATTTGTTTAGTTGTCTTATTTTTAATCAGAGAATCGTCAGTTGTTCTATATCCCATTCTTAACGAAACACTATGTATAGTATAAGTGGTCCCTACGTAATGATACGAAGACCGTTGTCCTTTGTTGATTGGACACAAGAATGAACTACTAAACAGCGTTGGGTTTTTAGTAGCAACAGCTTGTACTGAAATTCAGATCGTGATTGTACCAGAACGTACTAGATTTGGCGATAAATTTCAAATGAGAACACAAACTCATTTTAAACCAAAAAATAAATAAAATGGGTATAACAAAAATATATTCTTACGTTGGTAAATAAAAAATTTAAAAAGAAACCAAAATAAACTTTATTTTAAACAAAAAAATATAAATTAAAATACGTAAAACAAAAATATATTTTTATATGGTTAAATAATAAAATTTAAAAATAAAAACAAACACTTATTTTTTATAGAAAAACAAATAAAATAAGGGTAAAAATTAAAAAATATTTGTTATGTCAATAGATTTACAATAATTAATCTATAATAGACTGTAAGTGTAGTATTCTTTTTAATAAATAATTTACCGTAATTAACAATGTTTAAATTTATTTACTAGAACATGAAAGTGTAGTCGATATTTATCAGGTTTTTAAATTTCCCGCTGGGTTATTTGTTTGATATCGATGATAGCGACACATAGTGGGCCAGATGTTAACTGCGTTCGAGCTGGTGGTTGTTAAGCATATGCTTAGGAGCGTATCTTATATTTATGTCCCTTATATGAAGACTCATACTCCCTTATCTCTTACCCATTATTTTCAAAGTATGGGAGCACTCATTTCTCTCAAGATTCTCATCAGAAATGTCGTACGTCAATGTGGAAACGCTGTTTTAAAGGCCTCGAGGATTAAAATTCTTACGAGAATTTGTATTCCCTCTAAATAAACCAAGAGAAACAATCTGTGAGTTCACACTGGCCCCAAGGGCCCTAAAAATACTGTTTTACGTTGACATATTATGACATTTCTCTTGAGAGGAATGACTTTTCTCGATTTTGAAAATAGCCTCCCTGGTATAAAGTATCGCATTGGGAGTATCAGAAGTATCTACTGTCTAGCATAGAAATTGGAAATCATAGAATACATTATTCTAGAAGATCCAGCAAAATATTTAAAATGTACTAGATTTAGATACTTTTGTCTTTTGTGGTACTAGCATTTATGAATGGTTGAAATGTACTGAATCTAGTACAATTGTACTAATAAACCCAACGCTGCTACTAAATAAATATACCGACGTGCCGAATCTAATGCAAAAGTTTTATTTTTATACCTGTTTCATCGAAAATATTTGTCAAGGTCAAGAACTCGTTTAGTTAGTATCGCGTAGTAGCTAGGGGTGATGAATTTGTTAGGTATTTTATAACAGTTACCGTTTAGAACTAATAAAATTATTACGCCATCTGTTGAACAAAAGAACTATTAAATATGGAATATTGCTCCATCTGCTGAACAAAAGGATTCTTAATTTATGACACATAAATGACATCTATCAAAATTAGTTCATGTTACGAATATTGGGGGTGGTACTGTGGTCTTAAGCCAAATAAAAGTGGCGCACCAATTCGTTTTATCCATTTAAATTTCTGTTGTCTCTCTCTTTATGCTGTGACGTAAAAGTCGTTATTTTTGTCAGTGACAAACACGTTTTATACAAATGTGTTGGTATGTTATATTTTGCGCACGATTTTTTAATTTTTATTTTACCTTCTATATATGCGCAAACCCAAGGAGTTATTCTTCCATACAAAGACAACAAAATTTTAGAATATTGTAAATCGACGAGTACATTTTACAGGAAAAACATTTTTGAAAACCCATGGTATTTGTTTCTGCTAATAATTCTAGTATGTATATTTCTTCTAATGTTTATAGGTAAGCAAATACTTTAAAATAATGAAATGTAAATAATTAGTATTTATAATTATTGAATATTTAATGTTAAATAAAATGTTCTTACCCTAATGAACTTTACTGTCAAATATCCTTAAAAAATATAGATATAAGTTTGAGCGACAAAAACTTTTTTAACCCACCATTTTAAAGGAAGTTTAATCTACTTTTTTTTATATATAGCAATGCCTCTGCTCAGAAAATAATTATATGTAAAATTGTAAAGAAACTATATTTGAATTTTGTTTCGTTTTCGAGCTATCCTTAAAAACTGTAAGGGTTGCACTTTCATCCCTATCTTTAATTTCCTCCCTTTAATTAAATAGTATTCCTCGGTTTCTTTCATTTTTAATGACCATTTGAACGATTCATATGCAATAAAAACCCACGAAGGTGATTGTTATTCCTTTCTATATGACAATTATAATAGCCTATTATGAGTCATTGTGGTTTAATTCTAAGATAGCACTGGTAAGCAAACATTAATTTACGAACCGTGGGTTATAATCCCAAGTAAATTAAATGTAATACTGAAAAACCGGCAATGAATAGAATGCGGTCATATTCTTATTAGTTTGTATACATATTTAATCTAAAATATCTTTTATTTTAGGTTTAATAAAAGGTTTACTAGGTATATGTTCCAAATCTATTGGAGAATTAGGATTAGGACTTCTGGTAGATTTACCAAAACCCATTGCCAAATATAGAGAAAAATCGTTAGCCCACCTTCCAGTGCAATATGATATAGAAGGATGGCCAATACATCCTTATCAAAATGAACGTAGTGTTAGAGTATTTTCAATGTAAGAAAATTTGCATAATTAATGTAAACATCTATCAAAAAGCACATTTAATTGCAAATAATAATACATATACAACTACAATTCTTTACATATAAATATAGTTTAGATAATGAAATAAGATTTTCACCAATCAGCTGCCCCAATGTGTTTTTTTACTATTGCATTAATGCGGGCCTCCAGATAAGATTTATTTGTAAATATCTTTAGTAGTTTAAATAATTTTATCTACTAGAAACCCAATATCTATACAGGGTTGGATAAAGTATGGAATCAAAGTAAATATCTTTAAAACACAAGTGTAAATTAAAAATTTAAAAAACCGACTTCAAAAACGTGCAGATGCCATCACAACATCTTAACCAAATTTATATGGGATCACCCCTGAGGTACCCCCTTTCTAACAAAAAAATCTGATGTGTCCAACACATGACTTTCCTATTTTTCCCATTTAAGGAAAATTTTGTATAGAACAAAAATTATAGATAATTATATTAGAAGTAACTTTTATTCGAAGAATTTTCTTCTCCAAACCTAAATAACAGATATATTCCATAAAATATAAAAATGACCACCTATAAAGTACCCCCCCCCCCCAGATGTTCCGACTCTGCCCAAAATCTAATCAGTTCATTAGACGCTGGAATAAAGCTTAAGTTTAAAATTTGGTGTTTTTCTGTGTATCGGTTCATGAGTTACATGCGACCTACAGACACACACACACACAGACATCATCGCGAAAATAGTCAAAACGGATTCAGGGGACCTCAAAACGTAAAAATCCGTCGAAAACTCGAGATCGAAAAAAATCATGATTCCTATACTTTCCTTATAATCTGTATACAGATAGGAAAGTAAAAAGAATCATATAAATCGGACAAGGTAGTAAATCATTATCGCTAAACATACATAAAAAATGAAGAGTTTGAGGATTTTCTCATGGACCCAATTTTTAGATTTTTACCAAATTTATATGGGACCACCCCTGAAGTAGCCCCTTTCTAACAAAAAAAGAATTATTGAAATCGGACACCGTGTTAAAGAATTATCGCTGAACATACATTAAAAAAAAATATATATATATCGCGACGAATTGATAACCTCCTCCTTTTTTGAAGTCTGTTAAAAACGGACGATATTTATGAAACTTTGCAGGCAAGTACAATGACGCATAATGCATCTTTTAAAATCTGCAAAAATATACAGGGTGTCGAATTTGAAGAAGATTCTATAATTGATTATAAACAGCAATTTCTATAATTTTTTATATTGGAAGCAAAGTATAATAGGTATACTGATTTTTAATGATTTAGGATTTCTGCCAGTATTAAGTGATGAATTTACAAGATAATATGACATAACCGAATAGTTTCGAATACTTATATATTCTTTTTTTAGCATTTTACAGTTTAAAATTTCATTTAATGAGAGGATAATTGTTAACTATTTTTCGTAGATCATTGATAGAAAGCATTTTAAATTTCTCAAATTGCACTTTGCTGTAGTACTTCGATATTTTTAGGAAAACAGAGTTTTGCCTAAATGTTGTATTTTTCTTGGCGTACCCTCTTGCACTATGTTTACATCTATGCGGTATGTGTTGTGGAAGAAAGATTGAACCAGAAGATGATAAAGGTTGCTTCTGTTGTGTCAGTATGTTAAAACTTAATGAACGGTTGAAGAAAAATAAAAAGGTAAGATATATGTGCTTTTCAGTAATCAGCTCTCTAAAATTTGTTCTTTTTACTTTCCGTTACACATGATACTTTTTTGTATTACTTATTTACAATGTTAGTTTTTTTTGTTAGTTTCTAACGAAAATTATTTTTATTTGATTTAATTACGTCCGTTATGAGCCTTCTGCAAAATTTGATTTACGTTAATTATTTTATAAATTATATTTGTTGCCTGATTACATTATAATTATTTTCTTTTAACGATTACCTATAGTTTTTTATTTGAATATTGTCAGAAAACTGTTGATATACAGTGTGGGCAACTTAAAAGGTCCACCTCTTATCTTATTAGTTATTAATAGTTGTCGAGACACATTTTTGTTGTTTAAATGCTTCAAATAATTCTAGTAGATTTATTCTGCGATAAGATTGCCGAGATTGCCGATCGCCTGAGATCGGTTTATAAATACGGGTTTTTTTTACATACTATTTTTTAGGGCGGCTATAGCGCAGTACGAAACGTAGATGTTTACGACGATAACGATAGAAAAGAAGATGAAGATACGCAATATGTTATTAACCAGATGCGGCAAAGTCAACTTTCACTTCAGAAAGGTTTTTAAATAAAAAATATGTACTTTTTTTTAATTAAAAAACCAAACAAATAATTCTGTAATTGTATTAGATTCTACAACGTCAATTATACTACTCCCTCCTCCGCAATAACTTGATAAACAATGAGTAAAAATTAAAAGGTAATAAATATACTATATTTTTCAAGAAAGAAAATAATACGATATTTCTCTAATAAGAATGAATTTTATTCTGCCTGGTTATTACAAAATAATCTATTTACTTATTTCATCCAAAAAATCTGATGTGTCCAACACATGACTTTCCTATCTAGTTATTATAGACTTTTTCCGATTATTTTGTACAACCTATTGCAGCACCTCTATAAATGTTTAGAGGATAAACTAAATACATACATTTTCCACATACATCTACCTTGAAACATTTTTCTATAGATATTCATTGAAAACGAAAATACTGAAAAATTTAAATTTAGCACTTTTCCTACAATTTTTCCATTACGATTCATTTTAGAAAAATCATGTATGAACAAAAATTACAGAGATCGTATCGCCAACAACTTGAAGTTCAACAATTTTCATAAAAATCAGAATTTTGCACATTTTGTCAAATTTCTCGAATACGAACCATTTCAGGAAATTTTGACATAAAGCAAAATTTATAGATAATAATATTAGAAGTAACTTTTATTTGAACAATTTTCTTCTCCAAACATAAATAACAGATATATTCCATAAAATATAAAAACGGCCTCCCATAAAGTAGCCCCTCCAAATGTTCCGACTTTGTCCAAAATCTGATCATTTCACGTCAGGCCGAAATAAAACTTAATGTTTTTTTGTTTATCCGTTTTTGAGTTTTTTTTTCTCAAAATTCGAAATGTACACATTTTATTAAATATCTCGAATACAGTTCATTTTAGAGAAATTATGTATGGGATAAAAATTATAGAGAATTATATTACAAACAACTTTTATTTGAACAATTTTTATAAAAAATTATTTTTATAAAAAATTATAACAAGTAACTTTTATTTGAAGAATTTTCTTCCCCAAACGTAAATAACAGATATATTCCATAAAATATAAAAATGATCACATATAAAGTACTCCCCCAGATGTTCCGACTCTGCCTAAAATCTAATCAGCTCATTGGACGCTGGAACAAAGCTTAAGTTTAAAATTTGGTGTTTTTCTGTGTATCGGTTCAAGAGTTATGCGACACACAGACATCATCGCGAAAATAGTCAAAACGGATTCAGGGGACCCCAAAACGTAAAAATCCGTCGAAAAAAATCATGATTCCTATACTTTCCTTATCTGTATACAGATAGGAAAGTAAAATGAAGAAGTTGAGGATTTTCTCATGGACCCAATTATTATATTTTGACTAAATTTATATGGGACCAACCCTTTCTAACAAAAAAAGAATCATTGAAATCGGAAACGATATCAACTCGAAATATTCAGGAAAAATTAAGCTTTATAAGGGGATGAAGCCTATTCTTCTCAAAGAAATCTGAATAAATGAGGTACCTATGTAAAACTGAAAAGTATAATATAGAAGGCAAACGTATCCTGATTCTAATTATTTTACGAGTCTAATATTATTTGCTAATGAGTAATTTTTATGAAATAGGCCCCAGAAAATAAGGTAGGTTCATATGTGAGGTATAAAATTTTATACAGGGAATTTCAATGAAAATTATGCACCCTAAATAATTTTGAAGGCGAGGCTTAAACGAAAAAATAATATAAAGACGTCTTAGGAAAGAAATAAAAGAAAAAATATGACGAATTCAACACATGACTTTCATGTCTGCACACAGACATCGCGAAAATATTCAAGCCGGATTGAGGGGACCCCAAAACGTAAAAAACCGTCGAAAACTCATGATTCCTAAACTTTCCTTATCTGTATACAGACAGGAAAGTAAAAAGGAAGAGTAATAATAAAAACACAGTTTCCAAATTATTTATTTTATACCTATCTCAGGTATACATTTTTGGAATCGAATAGAACAATGTGATACTATACAGGGTGTTCCATTAAAAAAAGACATGAAGGTGGCCAAGGGGGAAGTTACCAGAATACATGAGCAAAAATACATTCCCATTATGATTTTTTGCTTTTTAGGGTTCCTTACCTGCTGTCCGTATCTCATAATTTGTAATAGGTACAGTAGAAATTTTCAGACTTATGTATTACTGTTGCCTACTAGAAACGTGTTTTTTTGCTCGATCTTAATAAAGTATTTAAAAACTACATAATAGTATTAAAATCTTGTACGATGGTGCGGAACCATTTATGCGCGAGTCAGACTCCGCACTTGGCCGGTTTTCGTATTTTTTCATAAAAGCTTCAGCTAAACTTATTTAGGGTGGATATTCATTGAAATGACATCGTTATCATGTTGACATTGAAACATATAATCAAACTCTTGAAAAGGTAGTTGTTGACACATGACAAGCTAACTATTCATAAAGGCGATATGTTATTGAAGGTAATATGCACCTAATTAAAAATAATACAAAAAAATGTATTAAACTAAAAATTCTAATAAAAATGATCTAATCTGGCTCAACTCCTAATTTTATGATCTCAAGAAATAGCAATTTTTCATATGAATTTTGCTCCAGCCTAAGTAAAAGGCATAAAATAAAACAAGACAATACACTTTTTTATTTTATTTTTTTTATATAAAGATATTTTATCTTATGGTCTAAGCAACTGGATCATCACCTTTGGTAGTCCTAGTGTAAATCAGTTGGGCTCTGTGTTGTACAACTTGTTTGATAAGACCTAAAAAAGCAAAAAAATATATAAATAGGTTTTCACATAGACAAAATGAAAACTAAATCAGACTAGACTCTTTCAAGGTTGAAGGACACTGATCTGGTGTCACATACTTATAAATTTTCATTATTAGAAACTTTTTTCTAATAGGAACCTGTACATTTTATTTTTGAAATGCATATTTTTGCAAAAAGATGGTTAGGAACAAATGGATAGAGAATGTTCATGACTATGTTTACCTTACATATTATGTAATTATTTGATAAATAAATATTATTAGGTCATATTTTAATGAATACAAGAATAAATATCCTTTAAGTAGGACATTCTTACACAATGAAAATAATTTGCAATGATTGTTTATACTGCAAAACATGCTTCGGAGTGTATGTTAAAAAAAGACAATTTTTTTCTAATGGGAAAAGTTAATACCAACTATTTGAACATTGATTTTTATTTTGATTCAATAAATATTGACTGTATATTCATTTAACAATTTATGTAGAAAGACAAGGTTAATTATATAGCATCTGTTCCAATTTTTTTAAACTCTTTTCTAATAATATGTTAAAATGAGACAAATCCTGGACTTGTAGGATAAGTTTTATTTGTATTTTTTTAACTTTAATTTTTGACATATATATGATATAAAAACCTTAAAAACCTAATCCCAGGTTTTTTCTTACCCAACTCTACCTAAAATATTAATTAGGTATATTACCTTTTTGTTGGAGTTCAATAAGTGCCCTTCTCGCTAGGGATCCACGAACTTTTAAGCGTTCAGAAACAACAGAAGGAGTGATCAATTTGTAAGATGGGACTTCCTTGTAAAGTTTATCATAAGTTGCTTTATCGAAAAGAACTTGATTATTTAACTTGTCTCGGACTTTTCCTTTTGACCACTTCTACAAATAAAAGATAATATATTTAAAACTAGATTAGATGCCCAAAAGTAATAACTACTATCATGATTGCATACCTTCTTCTTTGCTTTTCCTCCACCCGACCCTTCTTTCTTCTTTTGGGTCTTTTGTGGTTGCTTTGCAGAGGACTTCGCGTCCTTTTTAGGCGGCTACAACAATACATTAACGAATTAATAAGATTCATTATTAATACAGATACAATAAAAATATTTTTTTATTTCAGACTCATTAAATCAGATTCTTCAACCACGAAGATAGTCTTTACTTAAATTTTATACATCATGTACACATGGCAGTGTCGTGTCGATTATTTACAAAAAATGAATTTCAATATACAAAAATTTATCAAAACGATTATCAAATAATAATTCAAATAATTACACGATGTTTTACTTCTTTTACAACATAATTGCATGTAAAAATTACTAAATTAATAAAAATATTAAAAAACTTGATACTCACCATGTTGGTTCAAGTAAAAGAGGTTACGGAAACGCGAAAACTTCAAAGCGGAAATTACGTTTGACAATTGACATTATCGTCAATTGAAGGAGCGCGTTCAGGAAACACGCTCCGACCAAATAGTGTGATCAATTTGGTTTTGGTTCGATTTTAGCTACTTTCGTTCAGAAAGTCGAGTCAAATTAATCTAGAGTGTAGAGCGTTTTCTTTTTTAGCCATTTTAGACTGGATTAATTTAAGTAAATTTGACAGAACGTAGAGTTCTTTTGGTGAAGTTGTTTCATATTATTTTAGTGTCATAAAGTTGTTTATACATGAAATTCTATAGAGTTAAGTTTGTTTTAAAATAAATTATTTAAATTTTCTTATCTTGTTGACTTTATAGATCATTCATCATAAACTCGATTACAAATAGGGCTGTGAATAGGTAAATATCGAAATAAAAAGAAAAAACACGTAAAAAAAACTAAATGAGTAAAAAGTCAAATTGCACGCGACACGAGTACCATCAAACATCAAACGTTGTAAAATGTAAACAAATAACTGTTAAAATTGTGTTTTCAAATTCGTTAACGTTTACTTTCGTTGCCGTTCACAAATTTTGGGCCAATGAGAATTACTTAAGGGCCGATTCCACCGTTGTGTTAAACGGAGATTAAAATGACACTGTTAATATAAAAATGTTATTTTAAACTTCGTTTAACAAACACAACGGTGGAATCGGACCTAAGAAATTTAGTTTACTCCCGTATACAATAGGTCTTTTCCTTTGCATCGAAAGTGTAGCACTGGACTACACCGATTCTGAAAATATCGTTCCATATATACAAATTGTATGGATGGAACGATATTTTCAGAAGTGACGTAGCTCAGTGCTACACTTTCGATGCAAAGGAAAAGACCTAATCATCTGAACGCGCTCCTTGAGTTTGACGTGACAGCTTGACATTTGACTGTTTTTCTTCTTCCTCTTTTTTTGTTCATTTCGATGTTGACGAATTGACATTGATAGATTTTGAGAAAAATGAAAAATGGTATATTGGAAATGTCGATATTCAAATAAACAGCCGGTAATGGCTGAAATACTTACGTAAATTTATAAATATTCTATCAAAAGACTAATTTTTCATTTTATTTATATATATTATTTTCATTTTATCTCTAGTCGCCCCGATAATTCCAGATTTCGGTTTCAAGACACGTAGTCAACATATTTTCGAGTGTGTGATAATTATGGTGATTTTTCTTTCGACTATTTAGTTTAGGTAATACATATTTACTTTACAAATATGTTGCCTCTTTCACACAAAGACAATTATCAGTCATATTCGAGAGGATTTGGATCGAGATTAAAAGAAAAAATTAATGGTTGGATTCGACTAATTTTTTCAGACAGAAATTCAAGGAACTTATTTTTATTTTTAATTCTTAACTTATCATTCGCCTTTGTAGAATTATTCTATGGAGTTTGGAGTAATAGTTTAGGTAAATATGACTACAACTATCTATAACAAAACTACAAAATAACTCTTTTTAAGGTTTAATATCAGATTCCTTCCATATGTTTTTTGATTGTACTGGCCTTCTAGCTGGATTAGTAGCATCTGTAATTACGAAATGGAAAGCCAATGACAAATATTCTTATGGCTATGTAAGAGCAGAAATATTGGCTGGGTTTGTCAATGGATTGTTTTTGCTATTCATTTCATTCTTTTTGATGTCTGAAGCTGTGGAAAGGGCTATTGAACCTCCTGAGGTAAGATCATTTTTCTTACAGGAATACAGATTGTGGCAAAGACGAAAAATATAAGAAATATAGTCTGTTAACTGAGAAACTAAATATTTTATAGATCAGTGGTGTACACTAAGAATTTTTAAATATAATTCAACTTAACGATCAGGGGGTGTCCATTAAATAAGTGAGCTCAAAATAGGGGGTGGGGTCAAGCAAAATAACACCAAATCACATTTAAGGGGGGGGGGGGGGGGCAATGAAAATCCCATGTCAACTTTTTAATTGTTATGATGATCACATTTAGTATTATAAACTTAATTTGGAGCATAGATAATATTAAGTATTGTCTACACTGAGAGACAACTTTATTTACCTATGATAAAATTTTATTATCCATTATAAAATGTTTGTTTAATCATTTGGAAACATATTTGAATTAAAACAAGTTTTTATTTTGCAGGTTAAACATGAAAGACTGTTTATAGTCTCAGTCTTGGGATTATTAGTAAATTTAGTAGGTATTTATGCCTTCCAGCATGGCCATGGTCACTCACATGGAGGAGGATCCCATGGTCATTCTCATGGAGGAACGAATCAAGGACATTCCCACTCAAATAATCATCACCACTCCCATGATATAGAATTCGATCATGGGAATTCACAGATAATGAAAGGAGTATTCCTCCATATTTTAGCAGATACCTTAGGAAGTGTAGGAGTGATAATCTCAGCAGTACTGATGAATATGTTTGGATGGATGATCGCAGATCCAATTTGTTCCATGTTTATTGCTTTATTGATAGCTCTGAGCGTGCTAGCTCTAATAAAAGATTCTGTTATGATTTTAATGCAGAGGCAGCCTGTAGCTCTGGATAATGTTTTGCCTCAATGTTACCAGAAAGTTGTGAGTTTAGCTGGAGTGTACTCAGTACAGGAGCCTCATTTTTGGACTTTGTGCAGTGAATTTTATACTGGTGCTATAAAATTAGAAGTATCGAAAACTGTGGATCCTAAGTATGTCGTGTCTCATACACAAATGATTTTTGCCTCTGTAGGTGTCAGGCAGTTATATGTTCAGTTAGACTATACACCAATGTGATATAACTTCATTGTTCTATTAAATAGAAGAAACTAGAAGTAATTAAATTGATTGAAAGAACATGAATTTTATAATTTTTTTATAATAATTTTGTTTTTGAAATATATTTTAACCATAGGAAGGGTATATATTTATTATTAAGTTACAAATGTATTTCATATTGCTTTTTGGGTATAAATATCAATTTGAAATATCTTTGATTTTATTTAGAACTTTATACAGGATGAATTTTAAGTTAATACATTTTTTTAACTGTGTATAGAAGTCATTAAAATAAACAAATGATTTTCCTGTAGTTATGTACACTTTTCTTTGACTTACATTTATTAATTTATCTTCCTAATTTTTAAGTTTTTTTTTTAAATGTATTTTAATGGCTTCTATTCTATATACAGTTAAAAAAGTATCATATTAGGATTCACCCTGTACAGTGCATACCTACATAAAGGATGGAACCCAGAACTTTTTTTTTGATTCTGTATGATGTAAATCTAATTAATAAATTCATTATTTAAACATAGTTTTCTTTTGAATAAAATGCTGAAACACCGATTTTTTTGTTAAATAAAAAAGATCATCTATCAGCATAAAAACCACATATTTTCAATTTTGAATCATCTGAAAAAAAAAAAAAAAATTCGTGTCTGACACATAGGGTTGCCAGATTTACGAAAGGGAAAAGCAGGACAATGGTGACGACAGAGGATCGGGTTAAAAAAAAATCTGATGTGTGCAGCACATGACTTTCCTATCTAGTTATTACAGGCTTTTTTCAGTTATTTTGTACAACCTATTGCAGCACCTCTGTAAATATACATTTTCCACATAAATCTAACTCAAAACATTTTTCTATATACAATATACACTCATTGCCAACGAAAATGCTGAAAAATTTAAATTTTATACTTTTCCTCCAATTTTTCCGCTGCGGTCCATTTTAGAGAAATTATGTAAAAAACAAAATTTATAGAGATCGATATCGCAAATATCTTTTATTTGAACAATTTTCATAAAAATTGATTTTTTTTACATTTTGTAAAATTTCTCGAATACGGACAATTTTACGAAAATTTTGTATAGATCAAAAATTATACAAAATATAAAAAGTAACTTTTATTTGAAAAATTTTCTTCTCCAAACGTAAATAACATATATTTCACAAAACATAAAAATGACCCACTATAAAGAACCCTCCCAGATGTTCCGACTCTGCCCAAAATCTAATCAGTTCACCGCCAGAATAAAGCTTAAGTTTAAAATTTGGTGTTTTTATTTGTATCTGTTCATGAGTTATGGTGGATACAGATACACACAGACATCATTGCAAAAATAGTCAAAACGGATTCATGGGACTCCAAAACGTAAAAATCCGTCGAAAACCAGAGGTCGAAAAAAATCATGATTCCTGTACTTTCCCTATCTGTATACAGATAGGAAAGTAAAAAACAATTATTTTTATAAAATCAGGTACCTTGTTTTTATTGAGTTTCTAAAAAAAAGTCTTCAGCTCATATTTTTATAAAGCAGGTCAGAGCTTCTTAAAAAAAAGTCAACAGTTTATAAACCACATTCTTTTGCTGAGCTTTAACTTTGGATATTTCAAAAGCGTGGCATTTCAGTAAAAAGAGTCCCTTTGAGGTCAAAAGTGGGACATTTTCGTACTTTGGCGTTACGCGTGCCAGCAAGTGAAAAAGCGGGACAATTACGCCTAATGCGGGACGTCTGGCAACCATACTACATGATTTTCCTGTAAAGTTATCAAAAGTATTTATTTTAATTTTGCTTACTTAGATTTTTATTCTAACTAGTTTTTGAACTGGATATTATAAAGGGAGTTTTGATTTAATTTACAAGTGTAGATGTCCGCTTCTTTATAACCTCTAGGCATACAAGTGGATTTTACACATTTCTTTAGAGATTGGAATAGAAAATATGTCTCTTGCTGACGAGTTCTAATAAGGACGAAACCAGTCAAAAAATTACGTTTTCTGCTAGGGTTGCCAACTTTGTTTTTTAATTTTTCTGGACGAGGGTAATAAAAAATCAGGACTTACGGTATAAATTCTGGACATTTTTATAATTGCAAAAAACATAACAAACTTAAATAAACAATTCTACAAAAAAAAAACGGAGTGATAAAAACAGGATTCTAAACATTTTATTTTAAAAAAAAGCATAAAAAGAAAATGAAAAGTTACAGCTACGTAACAGTGTCACTGCATTTAAAATAATATTTTTTTCACTTTTGTAGCTACTATTAAAATAAAATTATAAAATTCTTTGCAAGTACAAGAATAATTAATCTTTATTTGAAGTTCGGCCTTAATGGATAATCGATTACGTGCGTCAGTCCACGAAGCTAAACACATACTTTTCAGAAATATTAAATTTCATTTTTCAAGTGTATGATTTTCATTATAAACCAGGTTACAGCCGGCTTAATTTGACAGAATTCTTTATAAAGTTGATCCATGTTTATGTTAAGAAGACCAAAATCAGTGACAAATTCACACACGTCATTATATTTTAAGGGTTCATTCAATGAAAATATTTTTAATTTTGAAAGAAAGTTGTTTTCAGTTAAATCAAATTTTTGTTGTACATATGAAAGAACATTTCTATAAAAATCAATGCACGTTATCTTAATGTCATTTTGAATATTACGTGGAAAAGATTTAAGCAAATTAGCACAACCAAAGCCTAGAAATTCGTCTTCAATTTTCTGATCCAATTTATATCATAAATTAGTTAACTTATTAAAAACTTCAAAACAAATTAAATTCCTCGTTAAATTCCTATTTTCCAACTGGTGTTCAATATCAAAATTGGTTTTGAATATGTTGTGAACAAGTGAAAAAGTAACATTCTGTAATACTATTTTGATAATTCTCTGAATCTTCAGAAAAATAACAAGTTTCATAGGACAATCTTCACCAAAAGACATAAAATAGCTTTTTATCGCAAGAAATACTTGTAGTAATCTGTTTACAGCAGTAAAAAGTGACAACCATCTCGTTGGTACGTGACAAAATCTTTTAATTCTCCCACTATTTTGGCTTGCGAAGAAAAATGGGCATATATTTGAACATTAAGTTTTCAATGTCAAAATTGCATTTATCTAATCCATGTTTTACGCTATTATTTATTATATGAGCGAGACATCCACTCAGCAATATTTTTGAATTTTCTTTGAGCAATAACTGATATATGGAGTGAAATCTGCCCAAATTTACCGACGCATTATCTGTAGAGAAACTTGAAATTTGTTTTAAGTCTAGCCCAACAGACAAAAGTAAATACCCATTTTCAATTCGTTTAATAAACTTTCCAAAGATGAAAGGGCCCAGTACGTTATAGCCTATAGAACTAGCTTTAGTACGTCCCAAACTTATTTCTTTTGCAATTTTTGAATCATTAAAAACTATTGGCGCCAGCTGAGATGAACAATTTAACGAGTTGTAGGAATGGGAGTGTTTTACAGTATGAAACACACTACAAAGTTGCGCAGTAATTACTTTTTCCTTTGCAGTATCTATCACGTCTCATTTTAAAAAAGTTGACATTGTTTGATTTTGTTTAACAACCAATGCACTTTTTTATGTTCTTGTCCCATTTCGTTTTGTCGTACATCGCTCCTTCTCCCATACGCTACTAAAAAAGACTTATGACAAATCTCATAATATGCTTTTGACAAACCCTCACTAACGATAGTTTCCTCAAGTAGCCATGGCTATTTCTGCTCCTATTCTTTTCGACAAAGACGTAATCTTCTAAATGTAAGAAAGTGGAAAAATTAAGTACAATAAGCGTCCTGCAATAGGTTGTTGCAAGACACTGAACAATGTACCCCAAATGGTGGACGTCCACCGAAATGCAGGACGGTTGGCAACCCTATTTTCTGCCGTTTTGCTTAGATATAATTCAATGCCTGTTGCGGTATTAGCCAAGTAGTATTTTTGAAATTTTCTTGTGGAGGTAAATTAGATAAACAAAGAAAAAATTGTATAAATATTTATTGAAATTATTGAAAAATATATAAAAAGAAACTAATATATTTGTTTTAAACAATATAATATATCGATTTGATTTTCTCATACAAGAATAGATATATCCTATAAAATATCAACTAACCAAAATTAATTAATAAGCATGATCAAATAGGTATTCAGAGTACCTACTGACAAAAAGCAAATGCCTATTTTATATATATATTTTTTATGAACAGGTCAATTTCAAGTTTAAATTGCAATCTCAGGATATAAATACAGGTATAAATTGAAAGAAATAAAAAAAAAAAATGAGAATGAAAAAGGTTTAGAAATTTTGGCTTATATTTTGTTTAAAAAAGACAATTTTACTAGCGGGAGCAATACCAAATTATGAGGTATGTCAAAAAATATACTAAAAAAAGCCATACAAAAAGTATGCAAGATTGTGGAAGAAAATGATGCAATATTTTGAATGAAACCCCATTCAGGTGGGAAGAAGAGTAATTAGAAAAATGTGGAACTTTAAGGGCATAATTTAATGAGCATATTTAAACAAATTTGTATCAATAACAATGGTAGGTTGGGAAAAGATGTGATCAGTTATTGACACTGAGCAAACGGATATTGTTAACAATACTGAGAAATCGCAATGCAGGGTTAATTCAATTTCTAGGGACGAAACAGCGATTGTAGTTGCATATTTTAAAATCTTTGATTTTACAAATTTTCATTCTCAACTTTCGTAAAAAAACTTTTTTCTTTTTTTTATTACAAACAAAATAACCTGATATTTAATGACAGTCTTAGAAAATTCGACACAGTCCGAAAAATATTTTTTAATTGTAAAAATTACAGTACAAACAAATTATTGCACGCGCAATGAACAAAAAACATATTATAAGGAATGATAACGCACTATATAAATTAAATAGATAAAAATATAAGTTAAGTAAACATTGTGTATGTCTAAATGTTATGCTTTTAATCTTAAAACTATTAACAACTGTTTATTCTTGATGTCTTTCCGCCTAAAAAAAAACAAACAAATATGTTAATAAGTTTTAATTATCATTCAAAAGTGGGTAATATGCAGGGTGTAACTAAATAAGTGTAAATTATTTAAGGGGGTGATTGCTCATCGAAAAAAGATAGGATATTTCATATACAGAAACTTCATTGGAGCATCCCTTGTTAAGATACAGCCCCTTAAAGGGGGGGTACATAAAATTTGTTTAACAATTTTTTTTCACAAGCACTAAACAAGTTACAATATTGAAATTAACCTGACATTTTCTACTACTAAAAAGACACTTAGCCAGTAGTTTATTTGGTTTACCCCATGGTTGTAAGGGGTGGAAAACGCAACCCCTAAATATTCGTTCCAACGTAACTTTTTGTCTTATTATTTGTTTACCATTTAAAAATTTATTTCCGATAGTCTGTTTCATTCTAAACAAAAAATGTCTCTTGAATTTTTTGCCCAAAATAAACCAGTTCGCAGCAAAAAATTATTTTACGAACAGGATAGATATCGCCATAAAACGAAAATACGAAACTAATTTATCTAGTAGGCCGTAATACTAATTGGGTATGGTTGTTCTGTTCGTAATTTGTTACTTTAATAATTCACTTGTTATTAAAATGGCATACACAAATGAGGAAATGGCTGATATGCATTACGTTTACGGTCTGTCGCAGGGGGAATGGGTTAGAAGCTTCTAGAAGATATGCTGAAATGTATCCTCAACGGCAGTATTACTTCAATTTCAAAAATTTACAAACTTACAGCTTGATTTCAATGTAATTAGGCATTCCAACGACCTGTAAAACAATAGGTGCCAGTGGGAACTTCTTGTATATCTAAGGGGGTACCGACATAGTCTCGCATCTTGGACGCTATTTTTATTTGAAATAAAAGTCGCCAAGCCTGCCAATGTACGAAGAAATGTATAAGCGGGTTTTTTAAATATTATTTTTATTGAGTTTGACATAAAATATTTAAATGTAATTCATTATTCATGATTTTACGTATAGTAGATTGAGTACATCGTATGTCGCTACCCTTAGATATACCAAACCTTCCCACTGGCAATTCATTTGTTTGGAATGCCTCATTGTCAGTATCGCTAATAGCGGCCTACTAGATAAATTAGTTTCGTATTTTCGTTTTATGGCGATATCTATCTTGTTCGTAAAATAATTTTTTGCTGCGAACTGGTTTATTTTGGGCAAAAAATTCAAGAGACATTTTTTGTTTAGAATGAAACAGGCTATCGGAAATAAATTTTTAAATGGTAAACAAATAATAAGACAAAAAGTTACGTTGGAACGAAATTTTAGGGGTTGGTTTTCCACCCCTTACAACCATGGGGTAAACCAAATAAATTACTAGCTAAGTGTCTTTTTGGTAGTAGAAAATGTCAGGTTAATTTTCAATATTGTAACTTGTTTAGTGCTTGTGAAAAAAATTGTTAAACAAATTTTATGTACCCCCTCTAAGGGGCTGTATCTTAACAAGGGATGCTCCAATGAAGTTTCTTTATATGAAAGATCCTATCTTTTTTTCGATGAGGAATCACCCCTTAAATGTTTTACACTTATTTAGTTATACCCTGTATAGTTTAATTGACAGCCGGTCCTTTATACTGAATTTTGACACTTTATGACTTGTTACTGTTTGTATACTCTATCGTTTTTATACTTTAAAGATTATTTAATTGCAATAAATGAACCATTTACAAAATTTCAATGGCAACTTGGGAGTTATATATCAAAAAGTAAAAAATTAAAAATCATGCTCTAATTGTATTGTATTTGGTAAATAAATACCTTCTGTGTTAATACTTCATTGGACTAAATATTGTTACCGCAGCTATTACCATCACAGTACAAAAACTGACACCCCATATTTGAACAAATGGTAGCTTTTCTTATACTTGGTACCTTAAAAAGTAGAAGGTATACATGAGCATGCGTCAAAAATAGAAAGTGACTACGTCAAAAATATATTTTACTAATAGAAAGCACAAAAAAAAAAACGATAAAATATAAACATACAGTGTGTAACAGCCAAATGGAATAAATTTAGTAGCTCAATTACTGTGTTTATTTATAAAAAAAAAAAAACCCGAATCGCATTAATTTTAGATCGTACACTTAAGGTTTTAGGAAACCTTCAGCAAGTTGTTTTTTTTTTAAATCCAATAGGGTAGCCATATTAAATTAGTATTTTTAATAGATGGGCTTCTATTGGATAATACATGAATAATGAAAACAATATAATAAATAATAATTAATTACACAAGTATAATATTCATGGTGGTCCACCGGTAACGAGTCGGTTTGTTTTCACAGCGAGATGTATATCGAAAAAGATTTTAAAATTATTTCAATTATACAGGGTTTTCCAGGAAAGTTTTTTTTTTTAATGAAACTGTATTTTATTTTAATTGCCTCTGCTTGCCATTATATTGATACCTTTTTGCCAGACTAACGTAAGCGACATTTGTTTAAATGGCTTATTATAGGGATTATACAGGGTATTTCACATGCTATAACCAGTTTTATATAAAAACCGTAAACTGGTTAAGGTGTGAAATATCCTATATAATTTCACACTACTTGGCATTGTTATGATGAAAAAACCGAGGGCAATTCAAATATAAAATATAGGGCGGCCCATTAAAAAAAAAACTAACTTTGATATGTGTCACTTTATTAAAGAACTCTGTATATATATATTTTTTAATATTTCCGAATGAACCTAATCTTACAAGATTAATCAACATTTTTAAAATAACCTAAATTACTACAAAATTTTAAATCACCTGCGTTCAATACTAGTTATAACATATTCTGTACACTTCAATATTGTGGCTCATAGCACTAGCTCTGCTTTATCATGATCACTTCACTTACACAATCTCAAAAGGTTTGACTCTGTTGAGTCTGCGCACTAGGTTCTGATTGTCTAAAAGTTGGAGAACTTTAATGTTAATGTGTTTGTGGAGCCTCTCCTCATGTCTCTTGGCAATGTTCTTAATTTCTTCTGGAATTTATTAAGAGTTAGAGTGCTTGAAGCTAATCTTCGCCTATCCGGTGCAAATGTTGTACATTTGTTCAATAAAGACATTTTTATTTATTTATTCAACTTGGAGTTCTCAGTGCAGATCTTTATTCCGAACATACCAAGGCGTATTAACTATGTTCCTGAGAATTCGGTTTTGGAATATTTCTAGGCAATTGTAATTGCTTTTACTGGTACACCCCCATAATTGTAGACCATATGTCCATAATGATTTTGTTATTTTTAATAATAATAATAATAATAGAAGCTCCACTTCGGGCGGAATTGTTTCGATGAATGGCATTATAGATCTGATATCCTTTTAATTTAACTATCCTGCAGAACTCTGTATAATTGAAATTATTTTTAAATTGTTGCCTTTTCTGATATACATCTCGCTGTGAAAACAGATTTTTAAAAAAGCACCAGTATTAGACATACAGACTGAGGCGTTACCATTGACTCAACCTGTATGTACATTTGAACCATATGTTCATAAAATGATGTCATTTTATTATACTGTAAAGATACACTAAATAAAAATCGAAGCAAAGTCCATATTCTAACTCGATTCTAATTTATTTAATTCAAAATATGGAGTGTCCCCAAATAAAATTTCTACTTAAATTCAAAGATAATATCAACAAAAAAACAAAACAAACACATCTTAGGATACAGTATCAAAATTGTTCCGTATTTTTCTTTGTTCTCAACAGCAATAATTTTTTGTGTGTAGAATATGGCACAGCCGGCTGTTTTTGAATGGATGGGTATATTTGTTCGGATTGCTGTTCTTGTAACAATTACAAAGCTTTGTTGGTCTGCGACTTGTAGTTTTAGAAATAAATTAACGAACCTCTTTATACATACAGCTAAGGTTTGATTTTATTAACAACGGATTTTAAATATACTGCTATAATGAAACTGTGCAGTCCTTTACCTAAATGAATTTTTTTGATTGTCAAATAACTGACAGAACCAAAAATACCACAACAACAAAAAACTACATGATCAATTTTTAATAATTTAAATAATAAAACGTAACTGCGCCATATTAACAAAAACAGAACACAAAATAAATATTCATCACTTAATAATTCAGAAAAATACAAAAACATTTATTAAAATAAAATCGAAAGAGTAAAGAAGTTTAAAATAATTGTTTATGTTAAAATTACTGTAACCCAAGATTAAAACTGTCATGCAATGCTATGTCAACCACATGCAATATATTAAAAATACCTTCTTCTTTCGTTTTTTATTCTTTGGTTTTTTATACTCTTCAATAAGCGAAGAAGCAATACTAGAAGACGATGACATACAGTGCTGGATAAAATGTTAGTAAAAAAAAGTTAATTAGGTTAGATCATTAAATTTGAAGGATGTGTTAAAAGAATAGGATTTTGTTTTAATCCGAAATAATAGTATTAGTAACATTATCAATTTTTGTTTTAAGATGCTAAAAAAGACATTAAAAATAATTACCTCTATAAAAGCTGGACCATTTGTTGAGTTATTACAATTTTGTGTCTAAAAATACAGAAAGGGAATTAAAAATCATTATTTTTTTGGAAGTGAAATTTGTATTGTCAAATTGCTTTTCCTAAACTTTATCTTTCTAGATATTTTTTATAAGTAATTTCTTGATAATAAGGTTTGTAATTAAACTTGAAAAAATTGTTTATATGATCAGAGCTTTCGTACACAAATTGGACGGTCTTATTCAGTAGTTATTTTGAATTAGAACTTTTATTTAGATGCTTACTCTTGTTTTTCTCTTTCGTATAATAAAGGTATTACATTTTTGTTATTATATAATAAATTATGATTTTTGTATAAACGTTTGTTGTATGGTTACATCTGTAAGTTATTAAAAAAATACGTGTGGCACTCGGGGACTGCCGCGGTAAAGCGATTGCATAGCATTTTTTAACAATTTATGCAATTATAATTATTTATGCAGTATTTTTTTTTCTTTGATATTAATTCAAGTTACACTTTTTGAGCGTGGTGACCGATAAGAAAACAAATTTTTTTCTTTTATTGAATAAATAAGAAGTTAATATTGTTTAAAATATTTTTATTCAGTAATTTTTATCATTGAAACTATAGGTTTATGGTAACTGAAATAAGAAACATAAGTTTGAGACTTGATATTCTAAATATCTGGAAAATACCGCGTCAATGGGGGTCCCATATTTTGTTGTGAATTCTTGTGGATCATTATTCATTTTCAAATTCAATTTTTCCGAAATTGTGTCTAAAAGAGATAGAATCAGTTATAAGCAATTAGCAGCTAGTCTACACGCATACGTCTAGTCGCGCGCACGCGCGCACGCACGCACGCACGCACGCACACACACACACACACACACACACACAGCGTGCCGAAGTCTGCCGAACTGAAACGACGTTAAACGATGCACGGCTTTCAATAATAATAATAACGTCTTTATTATTTCTATAAAAATACAAAACAAAATATAATTATTTTATAATAAAACAAAATATAGAAATAATGGGCGAAGTTCATCCTTTGTAAATGTTTGATCATTTACAAAGCATGTTCTACCACTTAACCCGCTGTGCCGGTCGGAGTGGGGGGGGGGTTAGGTTTATTTTCGTTACGGAATTTCTTGATTCGGTCGCCGCGCTCAAAGCCCGCGATAAAAGCTATGCAATAGCTTAAAAAATTAAAAAGGAATAATAATAATATTGCAATATTAAATGAAGAAGAAAAAACTTTTAAACAAAATTTTTAAATTTAAAATAAAAACCGAATTTGATACCAAAAACTATTTTATCAAGAAATCACCTATAAAAAATACTAAAAATCATTATGTAAAACTAAACATAAATATGAATAGTTAATTCTTTTTATGCACTTAAAGGACTAAAATTATAATTTTAGTCCCTATTTTCAAGGATTAAAATGACACTTTTACTCCCTAGGGATTAAAAATGCATTTAAAATCCCTTGTTTTGTTTAAAGTACCCTTGAGGGATATTTCATATTTTTTTTAATTTTTATTTTCCTAAATAGTGTATAAACCACGGGATAATTAAAATGTAAATTGTAGCCCTCCTTTCTGTAAATTTTAATAAAGAAATTTACTTACTTTCAGACAAACTCCAATTTCTCCATTTTTAGTTTGTTCTTCCCTAAGCTGTTGCCTTAAATGAATTACTTCCTAAAAATGAAGTAAGATAATATGAACAATTTTTATAAAAAAAATACAAAATAATAAGAATTCTCATTTTTTTATTTCTGAAAGGGTATCTCAAATTTGTAAATAGGAAGTAGGGGCTTGCGATACCTTATTTTAAAGGTCTCTTCATTCTATTTTGAAAAATGCCGTAGTTTTAAAATTTATTGCAAAAATTAACAGTAAAAAAATAAAATCCTTTGATTGACGAAATTCGCTACAAGACCTTAAACAATTAATAACTAATAGCGTTTCGTTCTTGATAATGAGAAAGCAAGCAAAAAAAATTTCATTGGCTTTTTCAACAGTATTACCAAAAAAAGTTATCAACATTCTTTATAGTTGGCAAGCTTAATTTCGATTAAAATGCATTAGCAACTTAGTAACCGCATTACATTAATTGCTGTCAATGTTGTATGTGCCCTGTATGTGCAAATTCACAAGTTCCAGCATGATAAACAATGTCCAGCAAAACCTTGACCAAATATTGTAAATCGATGAATAGAGAAGTGAAGATCGATATAAAGGCCAGCATGATCACCTGATCTTACGACATTAGACTTTTTTACGGATACATGTGAGAAATATGCTATACAAAACCAAACAAAGCGGCTTAGCTGATTTTAAGGAGAAGAATAACGTTTGTGATTAAGTTAATCTTGATTAACGTTAGAAGACAATTTTATTTATAATTGGGATGCTGCTAGAAATGCATTTTGAACATCACCTACATTGAAATTAATGTGTTTAGTTATTTTTTACTTTCCTATCTGTATACAGATATAAGGAAAGTATAGGAATCATGATTTTTTTCGACCTCGAGTTTTCGACGGATTTTTACGTTTTGAGGTCCCCTGAATCCGTTTTGACTATTTTCGCGATGATGTCTGTGTGTGTGTGTGTGTGTGTGTGTGTGTGTCTGTGTGTCTGTGTGTGTGTCTGTGTGTGTGTCTGTATAACGCATAACTCATGAACCGATACACAGAAAAACACCAAATTTTAAACTTAAGCTTTGTTTCAGCGTCTAATGAGCTGATTAGATTTTGGGCAGAGTCGGAACATTTGGGGGGGGTACTTTATAGGTGGTCATTTTTATATTTTATGGAATATATCTGTTATTTACGTTTGGAGAAGAAAATTCTTTAAATAAAAGTTACTTCTAATATTATTATCTATAATTTTTGTTCTATACAAAATTTTCCTAAAATGGTCCGTATTCGAGAAATTTGACAAAATGTAAAAAAAATATTTTTTTATAAAAATTGTTCAAATAAAAGTTGTTTGTAATATAATTCTCTATAATTTTTATTCTCTACATAATTTCTCTAAAATGGACCGTATTCGAGATATTTGAGAAAATGTGTAAATTTCGAATTTGGAAGAAAACTCAAAAACGGATAAAGAAAAAAAACATTAAATTTTAAACTTAAGGTTTATTTCGGCCTGACGTGAAATGATCAGATTTTGGACAAAGTCGGAACATCTGGGGGGGGGGGGGGGGGTACTTTATGGGAGGCCGTTTTTATATTTTATGGAATATATCTGTTATTTATGTTTGGAGAGGAAAATTGTTCAAATAAAAGTTACTTCTAATATTATTATCTGTAATTTTTGTTTTATGTAAAAATTTCCTGAAATGGTCCGTATTCGAGAAATTTGACAAAATGTGCAAAATTCTGATTTTTATTATGAAAGTTTTTGAAATAAAAGTTGTTTGCGATATCGATCTCTATAATTTTTGTTTATACATGATTTTTCTAAAATGGACCGTAATGAAAAAATTGTAGGAAATTAAAATTTTTCAGTATTTTCGTTTTCCATGAATATCTATAGAAAAATGTTTCGAGGTAGATGTATGTGGACAATGTATATATTTAGTTTATCCTCTAAACATTTATATAACTAGATAGGAAAGTCATGTGTTGGACACATCAGATTTTTTACATTATCAAGAACGAAACTCAATTAGTAATTAATACATTTTTTGCTGTTAATTTTTTTTTGAAAACGTCAACATTTTTGAATAGAGAATGATGATACCACTCAATTGAGATATCACAAGCCCCTACTTCCTATTCACAAATTTGGGGGTTGTAACTGTCACTCGAAGGGGGTTGAAGGTAGGAGTGAAATTTTTATGTTGCAAGATATCATTTTATAATCTAAAATTGACGTGTTTCGGATTTCGGTAATTGAGCTATTGAATGTATTCAATTTGGCTACACACTATGTTAAAACCCATATTAAGGCCAACTTTTAATGATTTTATTGATTATAAGAATTTGTCAAGTTAAATAAAGGGTTATAAAATTCTAAATCAATTTAAAACTCCATTTGATTATTATTTAAAAAAAAAAAAGGTTATATTGATATTAAGCTTAATTATCACACTGTTTTATTGCCACTATATTTTTTTGTTTTATTTATTTTTATATTAGGTTGGTTGTATCCTACTTTCAAATAAAGATTATTTTAGAATAAAAAAATATTTATTTTAATGACACAAATAACAAAAAGCAACAAACAAACGGAAATGCATTGGTTTGCTTCAGCACTAAAAATACTTCAAAGCCTATTTAGTTCCAGGAAATCTTTTAGGGTATTATTGAGATCCAATCAAAAATTTAAGTTTTCAACTTTTTCAACTTGTTTTCATTTTTTATGTTGTTTGGCCACTTATTGAGGAACTGGATGCATATTCAGGCAGCATTTCAGTTGATTTTAAAGTCTATGAGTTGGTATATTGTAGTTTAGAGTACGATTTCTTGTATTTATATTATGATGTATTCCGTTTTTCAAACTTATTAAAATTTTTAATTCATGTCTAAAAAAATGTACCTAAAAACTGCCATGATGCGTTCTGACCTGCGCAATATAATATCTACTTTTTTTAATATATAGCCTTATGATCGCACTACTTAATAAATATAAAAACTTACTTCAGACAGTTTTTCTACAGTCGCTAGAGAATCACTGTCACCACCATTACGTGGTTGCTGCGATTTTAACAATTGGCACTCTTCTATTTCTTTTGATAAATTATTTTCTACATGTATAAGCTTCGTTTCTAACTGAAAAATAAAAACAAAAAGAATTAAACTAATGAGGAATTCAAAACCTGCAAGGTAGTCAATCATAATCATTAAATATAAAATTATGGAATGTTATTAATGAAAGTCATACCTGGGATATACGACTTTCTTTTAAATGATCCAATTCTGCCTCTTTCGCAGCTAACTGACTCCTCCAATTCATTTCTTCTTGTTCTACATGTTTTTGTAACTTATTTAACATTCCTTCCTAAAATTAAAAATTAAATTTACAGAATTAATAAATCAACCAAATTAATTGATCTAGTTAAAAATGTGATAATTTTGGTTAAATTTTTTCCTCAATGTAGGTATTTTTTTAGAATATTTGTTCTCATTCTAGGAGAATTCAAAGATTTATTGGTTTTTAATATTAATACATGCAACTTTTTTTTTTTCTGAGTTTAATTTGTTTTATATAAAATATTACACTGCCTAAAACAATGAATGTAAACCACAGGCTGAAGGACCTCGGTCAATGGCCTTTTGTAACTTTTAAGTTTCAATAAAGCACTTTTATTATTATTATTACATGCAACACAGATCTGGGACACAACTGCTGCATCGGCTGAACTCGCCCGTTGATATTAAATCGTGTTTTAATTGTTTCTAATAAATTTAAAACATTTAATTCGTCGATTTTTCATCATTACATAAACATTTATTTAATTTTCGTATAAGTAACACTTACCGTATCATCGATTATGTTTTTATAGTGCAGAAGTTGTGATTGCAATTTTGCTACTTCTGAACTTTTCTGAGGGGATGATGTTGGTGATGATGCTGGTGATGAATTTTGTTTTTGCCTTTCTTTAAGTTTACTGACATAGTTGTTGATCAATTGAGCATATTTGTCTTGCCAATCGTCCGAATTAACAGCTTTGAGGTCTTCAATCTCGGGAAAAAGTCGTTGCATAAATTGTTTATGAGACTCCAGTTGTTTAGGGATTATTTCTAATGTTATTTTCTGAAATAAAATAGATGAATTTTAAATCTGAAATTTTTAATTTAAAATATATTGCTGAAACTCGTTTTTATTTATATATTCTAAATTGCATTATTCTTTTATATTGATTGTATATATACCTACTTATTAAGTTGGCTGAATATGGAAAACTATAATAGTTTCAATGAAAAAAGTAAAAATTGATCTTACTAACTTTTTTTAAAAATAAATAAATTAATATTCTATGTTACTTACACTAATCTGCAGTTTCTGATCTGCCAAATCTTTTTGCACCATTAAATATTTTTTGTTCGATGTTTCTAATTCTATTTTATATTTCTTCTCGATTTGTTGCAGTTCTTCAATCCTAGATGTCAGTTCGATTCTAGTTGACGATAGCTCATTACTCAAATTCAATATTTCCACTTCACGGTTGTTGTTCTTTCCATCTGATAAATTGGCTAAACGATTCACCTCGTCCTTGGCTTGTTGCAGTTCAGATTTTAGCTAATAAACAAAATATATTTATTTTAGACAACAGCCATCTAAACAACTTTTAAGATTTCTAGTTGTGGGACAATTTTCTTCAAATTTGATTAAAACTACACATTTTTACTTTCGTGTAACCAGTAAGGAAAGTATAGAAATCATTATTAAATCAAGTTACAGGAGGTGATTTGAAATGTTTTAACAATCGGATTAATGAAACTGATTTTCAATAAATTATGCATACAAATGCTGTATATTTATGATGAAGACTTCTCTAAAATGATCAAAGTATTCTAAATACCTGCGACCTTTCGTTATTACTAAGTCGTAACTGTTCATCCAGCTGCGCCAAAGTGTGTTCCAAGTTACGTTGTTCTTCAAATTGTTTCTGTAGAGCGGAATTCAGATTAGTAATTTCACGTTTCCATTCACTTTCTTGCCTTAATTGAGTCTCTAAATTTCTCTCCAATTCCTGATGCGATTCCTGAAAAAATAAAAAAAAAATGAAAAAGTAGCAGCATTCAAATTATGATTTTTAAACTCACTTTATATCCTTTTTCCAGACCGCCCATTTGAATCAAAGTATGTTGATATTGGTGATCTTTTTCTGCAATCGTTTGTTGTAGTTGTTGATTTTGAGTGGAAAGTTCATCGATATCTAATCTTAGCTTTCCAATAATTTTGTCCGTCTAAAACAATATCAATTCATTTAAATCGAATTAGTGTTAGAAAGAGAAATATTATTAGTAAATTAAAATCATATAAAATTTATTCAAAATTAAGAAACAAGAGTATTTTTATTGTTTTTCATTTATTAATAAAGATAATTTGTGAAATCTTAAAAAAAAACATTCTCTATGCTTTTTGATTATTGCTATGTAATATAATTAGAGCTTCAAATAATATAAGATAAAATTAAATTGGTTTTAAATATTTATTTGCAGAATTTTTTTTGTCCTAAAACATTGTATACTGATACAAATAACAGGTATATATTACTTACATCCTGAATTTGAGAAAGGCTCACTTCATACTGTTTGATTTGCATTTGTAGCGCGGAATTCTCTTCCATAGCTTTGTGGGCCGTCAAAGTTTCCGCATTAAGTTCCGCCTGCAACTGTTGAATTTTCTGTCCGTTGACCTGGAATCGATTATTCGCAGCTTGAATTTCGATTTGCTTAGCCTGAACCATTTCTTCGAGACTTCGAATTTTTTGCTGTAATTGTACCTGTAACATAGATACTTGTAAGTCTAAAGTTTCAAGTCTACTGTATTCAAAGTGCGATTGGATAATTTTATAGTTTGTTAGTACAAAGTTGGAAGTATTTTTTTAAAATGTATACCTATATGTATACAGGGTGTTAAAAAAAAGTGTCACAAAATGAAATGGTGAATAGTATGACCCAAAATAAGCAGAAAAGTCTTAATAAATATATGACCGCAAATTAACGGTTTCGGAGATACGGACCATTTTGTGTTTATAACAATTTTTTATTATTATAAAAAACAATGATATTTATAAACAATCAATAACAACATAGAGTTAAATGAGATGTTCAAATACTGACGTAGCGCTTCCCTCGCATTGCCATTTGCACGACCGTACATAAAATGCATGTCAGCTAATTCAATATTAGTGTAAACAGGCATAACGAAAATTTATAAAATTATTCACCCACAACAAAATAATAACTGCAAATAGTATCTATGAAAAAACATCGGTAGACTCCGATAAGAAAAGCAAGTTTTTGAGAATGAAAAAAGATAATCAAAAAATGATACAAAACACTCCGTATCTCTGAAACCATTCATTTGCGGACATATGTTTATTAAGACTTTTCTGCATATTTTGGCCCATACTACCCCCCGTTTTATTTTGTGATACTTTTTTTTAACACCCTGTATAAATATATACAAATACCTTTTCAGATTGTTGTTCCGAACGGATTTCCCTTAGTTTTGCTTGGGCCCCAAGGAGAGCCTCTTGTTCTTGTGCTAGCAGTTTTTCTTTTTCGGCCAATTGTTTCTTCAATTTTTGTATGGGATCTGATTTGCCCTAGAAATATGTTTATTTCAATAAAGAAACTAGAAATTAATTTGATATTAAATTTGACCAATAATGAGAAAAGTGACTTGTTCTTAGTTTATCTACCGGCTAGCTACTGTTGCAGTTATTGCATAGTTGAAAATAAAATGTTAATGTAGATGTCAATGCACAAAAATAATGTTTAGGTTTAAGTCTAAATTATGAGTTGCAAGTTTTTTCTGAGGCATCAGTTGCCAGAACTGTTCTGTGTACGCTGTTATCGTTTCCCAGCGAAAGTTTAGGAATAGTAAATGGTCAAGTGGGGAATCATACCTCTGATTCAAAATAAACATTTAATGAATTTTTTATTAATATTTAATTAATTTTATGAAACTTAATTAGAAAGTATGAATTCCTTAGATTAATGGTTATTAATATATTGTGAATCTGAAATAACTTAAAAATCACTCAGTGTACCTAAAAAAACAACATATTTATTTCAGTAAAACACTTTATGAATTAATTACGAATATAAACTAGGTACTAGGCAACTTTGTAATAAAATAGAGCAAACTTACCTCACTCCATTCATCAATGACAGCTGGCGCCTCAAGCTGCTTGTTGAGTAACAGATCAATGAGCAATTGAATCTCAGTCTTAGACAATTCAGCTTCAGTCTTAGACAATTCAGCTTTACGCACCGAATTTATGAGTTCATCTCTTTCTGCGGCTGCATGAATAAAATAAAAAATCAGAAGTATAATTTTTATAGCTATTTACAGAATATATGAAAGTAGCACATGTATAAAAAAATACAGTAAATGCGTTTTTAAAATCTTCCTATCAAATGGTATATGAAAATATGAAATTTAACAACGAAAAAGTGATTTGCTACTAATTTTCCAGCTAAACCAACTTTTTTTTTTCGACAGCAGATTTATCTGTTTCTGAAAATTTCCTTTCAATTGGTGAAAATCGAAAATAACAAAATGTATAATCTGGCATCAAAATTTTCTGGATACCTCAAACACATTTCCTAGGAATAATTAGGGGAAATTTTAGTTCGAACACTTTTCCGGGAAAAACTTTGCTTAAAAGAGGAGATAGAGCAAAAAGATTTCAAGAAGGCAGGATTAACGACAGGATTTTTATGACAGAGGGAGGGGGATAAATAAAAAATACCGCGAAATTTTCCACCGGCAAATTGATGGTTGCATGATATGCGCCATGGCTCACTAGTGATAAACCTGTATTGTGTTGCATTAATGTGAATTAGGAAAATAGTATCTACTCACTTAACTGCTGTTTTGTATTAAATTCACTTTTCTTTTTCTTCTTTTCCTTGCCAGTATTAACAACGACTCCATTGGTTTGTGGCACAGCGACAGCTGGAATAACTTCAATCACTACTTTTTGTTCGGGAGGAGGTACAAGAGTTAAGTTTGGTTCACTTTTGGGAATATCTACTATGGGTTTGTTATTTTTTTTATTTTTATTTGCAATAACGTGAGGTTCTTGATTTTGTTTCTTGTCCTTGGTTGTCTTTGATTTCACGGGGTCTTGTTTGAAAATATCTTCTCTCTAGGAAGAATTTAAAGTCATAATATTTAAGGTAATTGGTTCTCATTCTATATAAAAAAAAAATTAATACAATATACTTTGATTCAGATTTTGGTTTAAACTGGTAAATATACCAGACCTATATTGCTGCAAAACTGTTCAATCAAGTCATCAAAAACTTATTAATAACAAATCACTGTCTATTTAATAAATTATTTCAAATGAAACACTTGCTAACATAAAAACTACAAAACGTCGTGGTCAAATTTGTATGTATATCACCCATATGTACAAGCATTTTTAAATAGTTACCAACGCGTAAATCCTTATATATTCTGTTGTGACGGTATATCTATGATACTGTTTATTTCTTCCACATCTAGGGTCCTACCTATAAACAATGTTCAACATTGAATTTCCTAGTCAGCTTCCATTATTTTCCTTTTTTGATTAAAAAAAGCCATCGATATAATTATGATAAGCGTTGGTATTAATATTTTTAGTTTGATGCAATGATTATACGAGATTTATTTGTATAAACTTTTAGGTTTTTTTTTTATGACATGACACGTTTTAGTTAACCAAACTTGTTTAAATGGTCCATTTCATTCCTATCTATTCTATCCTTTAACGGGTTGAAATCTATTTTTAGTTTTACAAAATCTAGATGACGTAAATGTAAATAATACGTTATAAGCAATATCTTATTTTGGGATATGGGAAGTAGATAGCTGTTTTTGGAAACAGATGATTGGTGCTGAGACACTGATGTGTAATTGAGATGACTGTTCATTAAATCAGTTTAAGAATAGAATCAAAATATTATCACAAATTATCCGGTTTCTTTATCTTTCTTTCATTACATGTTTATGTATTTTTGTTATTATTATATACCTGTTTGAGCCTTATTAGCATTTAAGCTGTCCTGCAATTGGTTGTACTCCTGTTTAGACAATAAGTGATTTTTTTTAAACCTAGGATATTTCATTTTTTTATATACATGTAAACTCTAGTAAATCAGAATTTATGCCCTACCATAACTGTCATTATTATTTTATAATTGAAAAATATGGTGGCACCCAGTATCTAATTTCGGGGTACTTGAGTTATTTTAATCCTAATACCAAATCCACGATCCTTATAAAAGAATTTTAAACACTTAAATTGTAAAAAAACAACTATCACTACTAATAAAAAAACATGAATGAAAACAAAAATATGAGCTATGCTTTCTACATAACTTACACTATTAGCCCTCAATAACTCAAAGTCATCTTTGGGAGGATGTTCCTCGAAATGATTTGCAATTGGGATTTCAACAACTTCTAGAATGGGGTTCACAGTAGACTTTTCTTTTTTATTTATCAATATGGGACGAATTTTTTTAATCTTTTTCGGCTGAAAACAAAGTATAATCCAATCAAAAATAATGCCTAGCTAGAGTTCGTAATTTCACAGAAAAAACACAACTAGATTTATTTAATATTGGTAAATTGGTAACTACAAAAAAAGTGTCTGTATACTCAATAACTCATGAATGGACAAAGAGAAATACACTAAATTTTAATCCATCCTCTAGTGAGATGATTAGATTTTGGGAATAGCAGAGCATCTGGGGTAGGGGTGGTACTTTATAGGGGATCCTTTTTCTACTTTATGAGACAAGTGTATAATATCGTTAAAAATATCTGAATACACATTGTTAAGAGCACTATGCAATCTATTAAACTTTGTGTTCCAAAAAGTTTCACATTACATATTTTACAAAAACCACTTTTTCTTTTGTATAATTTTTTTGGGACACATTGTATAATAGATAGCGATATGCTCTGTAGACCACTGAATGTATGTTTAAATTACTAACTTTTGTTGCCTCTTTAACAATAGGTATGTTCAGTTCATTATTGACAGATACTTCTTCAGCTTCTTCTTTAAATTCAACATGAGGTTTAGTTGGGAGAGTGTTTTCTTTATTTTCATTATTATCCATCCCTTCTACTTCACTTTTCTCCATCTTCTCCTTAGGCTGTAACAATTAAAGATAAAATTATTAGGAATAAATTTAAATATTAAACAATCTAAATGATAGAACCCAAATGTTGGTTGATAAAGTTTTGTGTAACAAAAACAAATTTCACAGAAACTCCCATGCCTCCCTTCATACTTTATGCAGTCTTTGGGTCCAAAAAAGTTGAACCCTGATTAGGGACCAACATGCCAACAATAATAACAAACATTTACATAGAAGATGAGTAAACAATTAATGTCATTTTTAACCACATTAGCCACCCTTAACGCAAAGGATGATTGTTGGCAGCCAGGTATAGGTTGGCTTTCGATTAATAGGTATGTTACATTCTTGACTATGATTTTTATACATAAAATAATGGTGTCACTCAAATATCTTCAAGATAAGTTGGTCTACCATACTAATATTTATTAACATAAACATGAGAGGTGGGCCAGATTTCCATGTTCAACAATTTTCCAGAACATCAAACCCAAAATAATGTGTTTGGTAAAGGATTGTTTGAGTACAATGACTTAAAAAAGTCATACTTTGGGTTTATTTAAGGCTAAATTAAAAAAAAAATGCCAGTTTGTAATATACTTTGATTAATTTATTATTAATATTAACCAACTATCAAACAATAAGTATGAGTTCTAACATATAGTATCATTGGAGAAACATAGACTTGATGCAAATTTATTATTTGTATATAAATTGATTAATGGCCATGTCAACTGTCATGATATATTGCCACAATTTTCTTTTAATACTTGGCCAAGAAACAACAGAAATTGACCTTTATTTTATATTCAATCACACTCAACCAATTTGGTTATCATAGTCCATTATCTTGTTTGCCTCTTTAATATAATAATTATTGTCCTTTGGATATCTTCTGCAAATCTCTAAGTTAATTTAAGAATGCCTTAAAATCGTTATATTAATTTTTAATTTTTGTAAAAAAAATATTTTAAATTGTCTATTTTAAAATTGTCCATTTTCAATTTTCTCTTAGTTTTATATGTAATAATTTGTAATTTAAATTACTGTAAACTGAATAGTTAATAAATGAATAAATATATAAATAAAGTTTTTACTGTAAATTGTCAAATTAATTTAATATTTGTAATTTTTAAAATTGTTATAGACATGATGTAAATGTTCTCCTATTTATTTTAACTTGGATATAATTGATTTATACACTTTGTACCTAATTAATTAGTTTGAGACTAAATAAATGATTTATAAATAGAAAATTAAATTTAAATATTATCTATTGATCGAATAGAAAATTTTCCAAAAAAGCAATAGGTAGAGGATGGCACATTTTTTAAATAACATAAAACGTAAACAATATTGGTGCATCTGTCCACAGATTACTATTGCACAGTATTTTACATTTTACAGTGGTCCCCTTTACTATAATCATCATTGTCTAGTTTGACTTCTTTTCAATTAAGAGAAGACATCATACATTACTTATTATTTTTTAATTTTTAGTTCAAATAGAAAATATGTCAAACTAGATATTTACCAAATTAATTTCTAGTTTACCTTTTTTGTGGTTTTCTTATTTTTCTTTTCCTTGTGCTTGGACTTTTGCAACAAAGTACTAGTTTGCTGACGTTGTTCAGCTAAGGCTTCTTCATAACTTTTTTCTTTAATTCCGAATTTGTAGACTAAAAATAAGGAGAAACAGGCCACGACAAACAAGGTTATAAATATTAAGATAGTCAAATCCATTTTCTGAAACAATAAAACATTAAAGTTCGTAGAATTCACCAACTAACGATATAAAACAATGTCATATTTCTTAATGAATTAAAAAAAGATGTTTGTAGAAAATAGCATTTAAACAAAACAAGGACGGTTTGAAACGTACCCAAAAAATTAAATTATTAAGTACATTTTCATTTTTCTGTATTCAGCCACGTAGCCTAGAAGGATCGGTTCAGAACTGTTGTACCGGGTCTTTTTCCTAATGTTTATAAAAATAAAACCATTTCAATTTGTTATTTGGCTTACCTCAAATTATATAATGCTATTTTCTACTTTTCTTACAACTACAACACAATGGAGTAATCTAAATCACAATGAAAATTGATGATAATAACCAGACACAAAATTTTAATAAATGAACAAGTTGAGATATTAAATATTAAAAATGACGGGACGAGAGCTACGGGAGGAGTACGCTTACACAGAACACTACGTGACACTACGCTTACACCTACAACGCTTACGCAAATACGATCACAGAACACTTATACGATCAGCGATCTACATAATCTTTCCTCCATGATCTACAATCTACGATCGCAATGCGGGGTTGCCAACCGGTTTTTACCGATTTATTCTCAAAATTTTTTCCAGATTACTCACAATTACTCACAACTTCAAAATATTAATATTACTAGTTTTTTTATATAAATCGTATATTTTGTACTCGTGCACTTTTGTTTGAATTTATTTTACTACTGTGCAATGTTGCCAAACATCAAAAGAGCAATTTTCAGAACATACCACGGCGCACTATTGGCGATTCAAATTAATTTTCGCGCGCCTGTCATTTGTCATCTATAAGTAGGATGTTTGTTTATTTACATGTTTTTGTTTTGGACGGATTTTGTATTTGTGATTTTTTTAACTGTTTTTAGATAATATTCTCATTGTAATAGTGTTTTTGAGTTTCATTTAGTGTTAATTTAAGTTTAAGTCTCGTGCTTTCGTCATAAATATAATATTTATCATGTGTATGACTTAATTTGTTGGAAATATTTACCTATTTGTTACTACAAGAACATCTAGAAATATGTATTCACTAAACCCAGGACATGTTGTATTATGTGGTTTAAAGGATATTTCAGGTACCACACGTTTATTATTGATGAACTTATTTAAAAATCTTACTAGACTTATTCTTATATTATGAAGTGAATCACGTAGTACTTTGTATACATGTAAATGGTAATAAAACCGTCAAAAAATAAGATTTCAGTTTGATTCTAAACAAAGTTTCGTAAAATTTTAATATTGTGAATTTGTAGATATCCATTTATCGTAAAAAACAAAATTTTACGACTTGTACTTGGAAAATAATGAATCTTCAGTTTTGATTTTGACACCATATAGATTGCAATTTTCTGGGGACTTCGTCACAGATTTCATTTTTAATATAAACACTATCACATGCTATAAGAAAAAAACAAATTTAAAGCTAAAAAGTAAAAAAAAACTATTTGTAATTGATACAAATTAAAATGTAAACAATGAACATGAACGCCAATGTTGCCAAATGATGAACTGATTTTAAAACAAAATTAATAAATGAATTGAAATTTTAAAAAAATCAATATAATAAATCGGTTTTATAAAAAAATCCTTAAATAAATATAGATTATCATAACATACACAAATTTTGATTCTTAAATAAAAGGTTTTATCCACTTCTTCCAGAGCTAAAATCCGACGACGTAGCGAAGTTTTGCTACTTCTGGCAACACTGAACGATATCCTACTTATTCGGACCTTCTACAAATTTCCTCCAGAGGGCGTATCACTTAGCTTGAATCGCGAATAAAGGTGTTTCAACTCCCTGAAAAAAACATACCAAAACCGGTCGTACTTAGGGCAAAAATCCGCTAGGTTCGCTAGTGTCGTTACGGCGGAAAATTGCGGCAATCTTTTTATCTGTCAGAAAAAGTGCAATCATAAAAATAGTTGGTGATGGTGAAAATTCGAGTTTATATGAAATGAAAAATAACAAAACTATCAGAAGAAGGGTAATTATTGGGAAGACGCCCTTTTCTTAATAATCCAATTTTTTTTTCAAAACTTACGTTTTAGACTTTAGGAAGGATAGTAATCTTCAAATTTATCTGCGGAAACCCCATACATTTTACTTTTTTTTCTTTTTTATGTATTATTTAGGAATTTTGAGGATCATTTATATAAGCTTCTTTTTAGAATTATATCTGTCCTGTCATACTGGAAACTGTCACGCCATTACAAATTCGCGGTGTTGCCAACTTCTCCAATCTTAATCAATGAAAAATAAATGTAAAAAACTATAATTACACCACCGGTGGAAATCGCAAAAAATGTGATATTTTGGGTTCGATTAATTTTAAGAACTCAGAATTTCGAAAAAAAAAATTGGTACACTAAAAAGTACTCATTTTATATAGTAAGATTTTAAAGGGCGTCTTCCCAATAATTACCAATTTTATTTAAATTGTTGTAATACACAATTGACTGAATATTAATATTACATCATCTATAAAGTAATAAACAATGTTTACTTTTTAAAAACTCAATTACTTTACCCAAAAGTCTTTAAAGTTTTTTCAAACAAGGAAATTTATTTATCTGACAACATAATTATGACTTGACGGCCAAAGTCAATGATTATCATCAACTAAAGAGGATAGCCGAATTCGTTTAATTTCTGCTGGGTTAGCCGTGACATTATCCCCCGAATACGTTCAGCTACATTTGAAACGTACACCGATACACACTTTTTAAAATTACGACGTTTAATATTTTCTTACTTTAAAATTTAAAAGTAATTCAGATATTCAAAAATCATTTGACCGGGCGCGCCCTTTTTACATCTACACTATAAGATATACGCTACCGCCACCTCACCCTACTCCTAACCACTTCAGAAGAGAGCGAACGAAGAGAGCGCGCGCCCAGCCGACGTTTCGAAATCGCGCGCGCGCGAATTCCAAACGTCGGCCGGGCGCTCTTTTTTTAAATCTACACCATAAGACATATGCTGCCGTTATCTCACCCACCTCCTAACCACTACAGAAGAGAGGGAGCGCGCCCGGCCGACGTTTCGAAATTCGCGCACGAAGTCGGCCGAGCGTGCATTTTTTACATCTACACTATAAGACATACGCTGCCGTCTACTCACCCACCTCCAAACCGCTTTAGAAGAGAGCGAGCGAAGCGAGCGCGCCCGGCCGACGTTTCGAAATTCGCGCGCGAATTTCGAAACGTCGGCCGGGCGCGCCTTTTTTACATTTACACTATAAGTCATACGCCGCCGTTCTCACTTACCTCCTAACTACTACAGAAGAGCGAGCGAAGCGAGCGCGCGCCCGGCCGACAAAGTGGTTAGGAGTAGGGTGAGATGGCGGCAGCGTATATCTTATAGTGTAGATGTAAAAAGGGCGCGCCCGGCCGACGTTTCGAAATTCGCGCGCGCGCGAATTTCGAAACGTCGGCCGGGCGCGCTCGATTCGCTCGCTCTCTTCTGTAGTAGTTAGGAGTTAGGTGAGATAACGGCAGCGTATGACTTATAGTGTAAATGTAAAAAAGGCGCGCCCGGCCGACGTTTCGAAATTCGCGCGCGAATTTCGAAACGTCGGCCGGGCGCGCTCGCTTCGCTCGCTCTCGTCTGTAGTAGTAAGGAGTTAGGTGAGATAACGGCAGCGTATGACTTATAGTATAAATGTAAAAAAGGCGCGCCCGGCCGACGTTTCGAAATTCGCGCGCGAATTTCGAAACGTCGGCCGGGCGCGCTCGCTTCGCTCGCTCTCTTCTGTAGTAGTTAGGAGTTAGGTGAGATAACGGCAACGTATGACTTATAGTGTAAATGTAAAAAAGGCGCGCCCGGTCGAGCGCGAATTTTGAAGCGTCGGCCGGGCGCGCTCGCTTCGCTCGCTCTCTTCTAAAGCGGTTAAGAGGTGGGTGAGTAGACGGCGACGTATGTTTTATAGTGTAGATGTAAAAAATGCACGCTCGGCCGACATCGTGCGCGAATTTCGAAACGTCGGCCGGGCGCGCTCGCTCTCTTCTGTAGTTTTTAGGAGGTGGGTGAGATGACGGCAGCGTGTGTCTTATGGTGTAGATTTAAAAAAAGAGCGCCCGGCCGATGTTTCGAATTCGCGCGCACGATTTCGAAACGTCGGCCGGGCGCGCGCTCTCTTCGCTCGCTCTCTTCTGAAGTGGTTAGGAGTAGGGTGAGATGACGGCAGCGTATATCTTATATTGTAGATGTAAAAAGGGCGCGCCCGGCCGACGTTTCGAAATTCGCGCGCGCGCGAATTTCGAAACGTCGGCCGGGCGCGCTCGCTTCGCTCGCTCTTTTATAGTGGTTAGAAGGTGGGTGAGATGACGGCAGCTTAATATTAGCAAGTTTCTTGTTGTACACTTGTTATATTCATTTTGAATTATACCCTAACATGTCAAATTTCTTAAATATTTTTTAATTAAAAAATGTTTAAATAACATGGCCATGGTATTCAAATTTATTACCTATTTATTTACTCCTATAATTTTTTAGATGCGTGTAATTTTCTCTCTCGGTCAAATGATTTTTGAATATCTGAGTTACTTTTATATTTTAAAGTAAGAAAATATTAAACGTCGTAATTTTAAAAAGTGTGTATTGGTGTACGTTTTAAATGTAGCTGAACGTATTCGGGGGATAATGTCACGGCTAACCCAGCAGAAATTAAACGAATTCGGCTATCGTCTTTAGTTGATGATAATCGTTGACTTTGGCCGTCAAGTCATATGTTGTCAGATAAATAAATTTCCTTGTTTGGAAAAACTTTAAACACTTTTGGGTAAAGTAATTGAGTTTTTAAAAAGTAAACATTGTTTATTACTTTATAGGTGATGTAATATTAATATTCAGTCAATTGTGTATTACAACAATTTAAATAAAATTGGTAATTATTGGGAAGACGCCCTTTAAAATCTTACTATATAAAATGAGCACTTTTTAG